CAAAAAGTACTGACATTTCAAGACTGTCCTACATTAACTTGGGGCTCACTTTTAGTTTTATATTTCCTAATATCAGGTCATAATATTTATGAATACTAGTCATTTGAATGGTTATTAAATGTAAAATGTTTTATAGATTATATTTTAGTACAGTGTGAAACTCAGTTCTTGTGCTAGATGTGGTGGCACAAGCCTGTAATCCCAGCAGTCAGGAGGCTAAGCCAAGAGGATTGCCCAAATTCAAGCCCAGCCTGGGCTATATGATGAGACCCTGTCTCAAAACAAAACCTCATGTGTATGCTTAAATTCAAAGTTTTAGCCATATTAAATTTTACTTTGTGTCCTAAAAAAATTGCTCATTTTGAATATTACCTAGTGATTTTAGTATTTAAATGTATATGTGCATGTTTTTTGTTTTTTTTTTTTCTTTTGTTTTTTTGAGACAGGGTCTCAATATGCTGCTCAGGCTGGCCTTGAGCTCACTTTGTAATCTAGGCTGGTCTTGAACTCAAAATGATCCTCCTGCCTTAGCCTCCCGAGTGCTGGGATCACAAGTATGTGCCACCACGCCTGGCTGTGTGTGCATGTTTTTTAATCTAAATTCAAACCTTAGTTTCTAATATAGAAGTTAACCTTTTTAAAAAGTGTAACCATTAGTAAGGGTGTAAGAGAACATTCTAGGAGAGCACTTAACCTGTGGTGCATAACAACTTAACCTGTGGCGCATAACACTAGGTTCCACAAACACCACATCCCTTACTTTTCTACTGTAAATTTTTATTTTAGTGTAATATTAGCCAGCTGTGCATCTCAGTAGCTGCACCTGGGGGATACAGGAAGCAATCTTTGTGTTTACACAAAGATTGGTACAATGAAAGGCAAGGTGTGTGCTCCTGTGCAAACGTGTCAAACCAGGATTTACACCCAAGTGATGCCCTGTCTTAACAGGTTTTGTATATGTGTACCTGAACATCACAGAGGGTATAATACACCCACACCACTCTAGGATTTGTTGTTTAAAAATTTTTCTTTTGATTTTGCTGGTAGAAGTAGCCCAGTTCAGTACAGTGACACATTAAAAAAACCAGATTTGCAAGTTTGAAGGTCAAAGTGAATCATCAGATTACTCCTGCACAGATGATGATGATCCATTGTGGTAAAATACATGCTTTCATAACAGAAGAGTGGTGTGGGTGTATGAGGATGATGATGGCTTTGATGTTGGCCGTGTGAGCCAAAGTTCATATGACAGTGAAATGGAGCAAGAACTGACTGATACAGGCACACGGAATGCAGACCTCTTTGGTTCAGATGACAAAAAAACAGCAGTTTGGGTATGTATTTGACTAGTCGAAATGTTGCAAAATGGTCAGGTAGAACTAGGTCCAAAAATACAGTGAGGGTCTTGGCAGGGGTGAAATGTATTGGACAGAATCCCAGCATTGCCATTCAGTGTTGGAAATTGTAGCAGATGAAATGTTACAAGATGCTGTGAAATATAAAGGCTGAAATACAAGTGAATGATCTATATGCACCAGTGGCCATATTCAGAAGTGTATTATGACATCTCATAAGCTGAACTGAACGCATTCATAGTTCTGGTGTACTTAGCAGGAATTTCTCACGGGAATGAAAAAATGTAAAACACTTAGGTAAAATTCATGGGTTAAATATGGCATAAAAATGTATGCCCTTGTAGATCCAAAGACTTACGCTTGCAGATTAGAAATTTATCCTGGAACTCAACCATAGGTCCTTATCTGTATAGTAGTAAACTGAATGATGTAAACAGACATCTCTCAAACTAATCAGAATACGATATTCAGCGATTGGTTTACTGGTTTCCAGTTGATGTTAAATTTGCCAAGAGTTGGCCAACACAGAAACTATATGTAAGAACAAAGCAAAAATTCCAAATGAAATGTTTCAATATGAAAACAGAATTATAATAATCTCTGAATTTCAGGAAGATTTACATTGGCCTCATGTAGGACCCCCCCCAAAAAAAAACCAAACTGGTACTGCTGATGGCAACATTGTACCATGATGGAAATATTGATAGGGAAACCAAGACAAAACAGAAGCCTGAGATGGATGCTTTCTGCAACAAAACCAAAGGCAGAGTAGAAGTTGATGATGAGTTAATAAAGCAGCTGTGATGTCACTCGAAACACAAAGCATTGACCAGTTGTTGTGTTTTACCCGATCCTAAATATGTGTGACATAAATAGTTTTGATAGTTTATGAAGAAAATAACAAGTGCAAAATACCACAGAGAAATAAAGAGATCATTTACAGCAGAGGAAAAAAAAACGTTTCTGCCCAGAGAACTTTGCAGAAAAATTGTGGACCACAACTGGTGAGCTGACCAGTGAACAGGTAGGGGCAGTATCCCAAAGACAAGACCTGCTATGGCAACAGGAAAACCAAAAAGATGTCGTTGTGCCCTACAAGAAAGGACAGGAAAACAAAACAAAGATACTATCAGTGTAAGCAGTTCTTGTGTAGAACATGTAGTTTTCATATGTGAAAACTGCCTTGGATGTGACAATAGAAGCAAACACTATTTTTGTTGTAGAGTTTTAGTGGTATTTGCATTGTAGTTCACATAGGTTTTTGTTTCTGATGTTCTCTCTTAGGTTTTGTAAGCAAGTACATAGCTAATGTCTATTCTATTCCTCTCCGTCCGCCCTGTACTGGGAATTGAACTCAGGACCTTGCACTTGCCAGGCAAGTGCCTGTGCCACTCAGCTGTATCCCCGGCCCTGATGTCCATTCTAAGCATGCATTACACATTTGATATTTTATTGATATCTTACTTCCCTGTTAAGTGCACAAAATATAGTAGGAAGATCCTAACAAAACAGGAAGAGAAGAGAGATGATAAGAATAGCCTGCCATCTAGCAAAGGAAAGCCAGGCACATGTACTGTCAATGAAAGCAAGATATGTCCATGAGTATAAAGACTGCCTTGGGTGTGACAGTTGAAGCAAAGATTATTTCTTTTTTCTTTTTGGTTTTTTTTTTTTTTGTACCAGGAGTCGAACTCAGGACCTTGCACTTGCCAGGCAGGCACTTATGCCACTGAGCTATATCCCTGGCCCCTCTTTCTGGTTTTTTGAGACAGGATCTCACCATGTAGCTCAGACTGGCCTCAAACTCATAGCAGTCCTCCTGCCTCAGCCTCCCCAAGTGCTGGGATTACAGGCATGTGCCTCCGTGTTTGGCTGCAAAGATTATTTCTCTGGTATCCTTTGTTTGTGTTTACATTGTGGCTCACATAGGTTTTTATGATGTTACTGTTTTTTCTGATGTTACTGCTTAGGTTTTGTATGTAAGTTCACAGCTGATGTGAAAATGTTGATGTTTATTCTAAATGCACAATACATATTAAGGATTAAATACTTCATTTTATTCATATTTTATGTTCCTGTTAACCACTTTGCATAATATAATAAGAACATCCTGAGAGCCGGGCGTGGTGGCACACACCTGTAGTCCCAGCACTCTGGGAGGCAGCGGCATGAGGGTTGTTGGAAGTTCAAGACCAGCCTGGCCAGCCTGAACTATATAGGGAGACCTTGTCTCAAAAAAAAAAAAAAAAAAAAGGAACCTCCCAAGAAAACAGTCAGACGAGTGAAATGTCAAGTATGTCCTACAAAAATGCCAGGAAAGCAAAACACGTGCTGTCAGTGTAAGCAATACATGTATATGGAGCGTGCTGTTGTCTTGTGTGAAGACTGCCATAGGTGTGATAATTCAGGTAGATTTTTTTTGTAGAGTGCTATTGGTAGTTTCATTGTAGTTCATCTAAGAATTTATTTCTGTTCTTTTTTAGACTATACATCAAAAGCCATGTTGGAAGTTTTGATGCTTTTTTTATAAACACTCAATAAATACTAAAAATGCAGTACTTTATTTTTGTGATTTTTTTCCTATTAAGCACTTATTATTTAATATAATAAAATTTAAATTAATAATCCATCAGTAGAAATATTCTAAAGAATAATTGGGTTTGACACACCCATGTTTTTTACCCTTTATGACAAAAATGTATTATACTCCACTTAAGCCACTGAACTGGGTGCTATTAGTAGTATTTATAGATACAAGGAGTATCAATTTTATTGTTAGATTGCATTTCTTAATATTTGTAGGTCTTTTCCAGGTTATAAAAGTACCATTAAATCTTAACCCATTTCAGGTATTAGTTAACATGTTTAATCCATTCACAGCCAGCTAAAAAGGAAGGTTAAACATGTAGGTCATTAGTGATTGGAATAGCTGACTTTCTGGAAACAACAGAAAGTAGATGGTTGGAATGTCTACATTATAATTTTGACCAAGAATGATTAGCCTTTTCCTTAAGTATTGTATTGGTAATGTGAACCAGAGCCTACTGTCCTGTTTTAATATATTTGTTGTTTTAGGGTTTTGGCTTTCTTTGGGGAGTCAGGAGTCTCACTAGGTAGTTCAGGCTGGCCTTGAACTCACTATGTAGTACAGGCTGACCACTAACTCACAACAATCCTCCTGCCTCCACATCCCAAGTGCTGCCATTACAGTTTTAGGAAATTGCTTAGTGTCTTTTTTGTTAGCAAGCAACTATTTTGCCAAGCTGCCATTAGCAGTGCATTACTGAAGTTTCAAAGGGTAACAGAATGTTGTATAATTCTGTGGTGTCAGTGGAGTACACATTCACCATACCTCTCAGAGGACAATTGTCATGTCTATTCTGTTTCTAGTTTTTTGTTTTTTTCTTTTTTTTTGAAACAGGGTCTCACTATGCAGGTCAGGCTGTCCTTGAGCTCACTTTGTAGCCTAGGCTGGTCTCGAACCTGCAACAATCCTGCCTCAGCCTCCTGAGTGCTGGGATTACAGGCTTGCGCCACCATACCCAGCTGCTATACTGTCGTTTCTAATTCGCTTGATTTTTCTTTATACTTTATAGATACTTCTTTTCTAATTTGATGGTGTAGAAATCTTTTATTTCTTAACAGGATACATTAATTGTTTGGTCAGAAGCTGAGAACTACGATTTGGCTCTAAGTTTTCAAGAAAAAGCTGGCTGTGATGAAATCTGGGAAAAAATCTGTCAGGTAAGGTCCTTTTTGTAATATTTAACTTATATTTGTACACAGCCTTGAATTTCTTTTTATACTTCAAAGATTTGTATTAGAATGTAAAAATATAATATCTTAGTGTGTTTCCGTGCTGAGATTCCAACCCAGGGCTTGGCAGTTGAGCCACACCTACAACCTACAACTACCACCCACCACACCTATCACCATCTTGGGATGTTTTTATATTTTGCAGCAAATTCTTTCATTTGGAATTTTAAAAAGAAAAAAACCTTCATCATAATTCTTTTCACCACTTTAGATTTTCATTGCATACATTCATAACTGATACCCTATAGAATATCAAGATCTGTAGACAAAACATTGTTTACATTATTGTGTTTAGGTTTTTTTCCTCCCCTAGTAATTGCTCATGTGTTTATCTAATGTTGAAGACACCAGACACTATGTGCCAGGCACTAAAAATCAGAAGTGCTCATAGCACCAAGTCACATGAAACTTGAAGGGTAGCGTAATGTATAAGATATGTGATGAGTTTCAGGTGACTAAATGTTTTAGGCAAACTTGTTTATTTTAGAACTTTTTTTTTTTTTTTTTTCTCCAGTTTTTCAGACAGAGTCTCACTATGTGGCTCAGGGTGGCCTTAAACTCACTGTGTAGCCTAGGCTGGTCTTGAACTCATGGCAATCCTCCCACCTCAGCCTCCTGAGTGCTGGGATTACAGGTGTGTGCCACCACACCCAGCTAGAACATTTTTTATATCTACAAAAAAATGCAAAGATAATAGAATTCCTGTATACCCAACTTCCCTGACAAACCCCAGTGCTTATATCTACATGTAAGATATTTGTCACAATTTTTGAACTAATAATTAATACAGTACATTCTTTTTTGGGAGGGGTTGGGTTTTTTTGAGACAGGGTCTTGCTGTGGAGTTCAGGTTGGTCTGAGCTTACTGTGTAGGCCAGGCTGGCATAGAATTCACAGCAGTCCTCCTGAGTCAGCCTCCCAAGTGCTGGGGTTACAGGCCTGCACCACCATGCCCAGCTAATACAGTTCATTCTTGTTATTAAATAACATCTGTACTTCATTTAGATGATCTTAGCTTTTCCTTTTTTTTTTTTTTTTTTGCCTTTTTGAGACAGGATTGCACTATACAGGCTGGCCTTGAACTCACTTTGTAGCGCAGGCGGGCCTCAAACTCACGGCAGTCCTCCTGCCTCAGCCTCCTGAGTGTTGGGAATACAGGTGTGTGCCACCACACCCGGTCTTCTTAACTTTTCCTTAATCTTCCTTTTTCTGTCTCTGAATACCACATTGCATTTAATTAGTCATGTCTCATCCTCTTCAGGCTTCTCTTGGCTGTGATGCTTGGTAATTGAGATTTTAAATTAACCATATAATCATTTTCTTTAAATGAGACACCATGTGTTTCAGTGATTGCTATTTGTTATAGTGGCTGGATTTTTCTGTGTGCATCATTTTCACTTACATGACTCTTGCGTACATTTCATTAACTGAAGATCTTTGAGGCCGTCATCTTTACTCTTAATACTACTCTTAGTAATGTATTAGAATAGGTTTTAGTTTGGTGTGAATTTAACAGTGTCCTCATCAAACCACTGTAATGGTATGATAGGTCACTTTAAGTCACATTTAGTGATGGGAACAAACAGAAAAGTGGCCTTCTGTTATTTAAAATTATTAGGTAAGGGCTGGGGATTTAGCTCAGGGGCACAGCACCTGCCTGGCAAGTGCAAGGTCATGAGTTTGATTCCTGATACTGGAAAAAAACCAAAAGTAAAATAAAATCATTAGGTATAGTGAAGTTATTAAATAACTGCTTGATGTTATTACTACATGATTTATAGAATTAACCTTGTAAATCTACATACCAGGTGAAATACTCAGATTTTCAAGGATCAGAGTTAACCTAAAGTTACAGGTTGAGAAATTTAAAAGGGAAATAATCTGTAGTCAGTTATTTAAGGTTCAACTAATTGACTGTAAACTTGGTGTATCCCCAGCCCACTCCTGCTTCACTTTTAATTAACAGAGACTGTATTTTTAATATTGATTCCATGCAAGGTATTTTTACTTAAATTTGGTAGTCAGTGATTTGATTTCCAAAATGTTGAATTCTTCTGTATTTCAAGATTACCACCTCTATTGCGTGTTTTTAGGTTCAAGGTAAAGATCCATCAGTAGAAGTCACACAGGACCTCATTGATGAATCAGAAGAAGAACGATTTGAAGAAATGCCTGAAACCAGTCATTTGATTGATCTGCCCACTTGTGAACTCAATAAACTTGAAGAGATTGCCGATTTAGTTACCTCAGTTCTCTCCTCACCTATTCGAAGGGAAAAGCTGGCTCTGGCCTTGGAAAATGAAGGCTATATTAAAAAACTACTGCAGCTGTTCCAAACTTGTGAGAACTTAGAAAACACTGAAGGCTTACACCATTTGTATGAAATTATTAGAGGAATCTTATTCCTAAATAAAGCAACTCTTTTTGAGGTCATGTTTTCTGATGAGTGTATCATGGATGTCGTGGGATGCCTTGAATATGATCCTGCTTTGGCCCAGCCAAAAAGACACAGAGAATTCTTGACCAAAACTGCAACATTTAAGGAAGTTATACCAATAACAGATTCTGAACTGAGGCAAAAAATACATCAGACTTACAGGGTACAGTATATACAGGACATCATTTTGCCTACACCATCTGTTTTTGAAGAGAATTTTCTTTCTACTCTTACATCTTTTATTTTCTTCAACAAAGTTGAGATAGTCAGCATGTTGCAGGTAAGTACTGTTCTTCACAATTCTGTTTTCAGATACAGTATCGAGTTACCTAATAGTTCAAGCTATTTCATTCAAAAAATGTTTACTTTAAATGTACTGTCAAACACAGAAAACATACCTGGTGGTTTTATGAAAAAGAGTAATTTTTTAACACAAACTTGGTATTTTTAAGTATTCTGTGATACAGCTGTTATTTTAAATTTTTGTTTTTCTAAAATTGACATAGGTTATACATAAAATTCACGGTTTTAACCACATGTAAATGTACAGCTCATTGGCATGAAGTATATTCAATGTTACACAACAGTCACCACCTCCATTTTCAAAATGTTTCATCATTCCAAACAAAACCTAATGATTAAACTAGTTTTACTTCTTTCCCCATATCCCCCATGTCTTGTTATCTGCTGTTTTACTTTGCATCTCTATGGATTTGCCTTTTGTAGATACTTGTGAGAGTTTTTTTGTTTGTATCACTTTGGGTTGGGTTTGGTTTTTGTTGTTGGTTTTGTTTTCTCTGGTTTTTAGGTTTTGTTTTTTTGTTTTTTCCTCACTTCCTGGGATTACACCAGTACTTGGCACATTTAAGACTTTATCACTGAGCTATAGCCCCAGTACTGTGCAGCTATTAAAAGTATCTTTTGTTACAGCCAGGTGTGGTGGTGCACATTTGTAAATCCCAGCACACTGGGAGAGGCTGAGGTGGGAGGATTGCAAGATTTAGCCCATCCTAGGAAACTTAGTGAGACTCTGTCTCAAAATAAATAGATAGACAAGCAGGAAGGCAGGCTGGTGGGTACTGCAGCTCCGTGCAGAGGCCCTAGGTTCCATTACCAGTATAGCACATACTGTCTGTGTGGGTGGGGGTCAGCTTTTATTCCAGTTTGAGAAATAGTTACTGGTTTGTATAATGGTAACTGGTTAGATTATTGGCTATGTGAAGTTGATTTTGTTCTGTCTCCTTGAGTTCTGAAATGCAAGTTTCATCAGGTATGGTGGTGCATACATGTAATCCCAGCATTTGGGAGGCTGAGGCAGGAAGATTGTGGCAAATTCAAGGCCAGCCCAGGCTACGTAGCAAGACCTCATCTCAAAAAATAAAGCAAAAAAGAAAATACAAGTTTTATATCATGTTTTTTATGTTAGTCCTTCACATCTTATAGTAAGCATGCTTTTGAAGATTTTACATTACTTGTGATATTAGACTATACTCAGTGTCTTAGTAACTTGCCTTTGTTATTTCCTTACCAGTTACTGAATTCACTTAGCAGCTACTGTGTATGTACTTAGGATAGTGGTTCACAAAGTGTGGTCTGTGGATCCCTAAAGGTCCCCAAAACCCTTTCAGAGAGTCACTTAAGTTTTCCCTTTTCCAGCTTCTTATTAGTGTAAGGCTGTTTTTGTTTTTTTTTTTAATATATTTGAGCCAAAACAATGTATCACAATAAGATTGAGTGTAGAATTTGTCTCTGTTAAACCAGTACAAAAGAGATGCAAAAATGTAAAAAAGGCCTATTCCAAAATTTGGATCCTATATTTGCTTCTGATTTAAAACTTTATATAAACAGTGGCTAATGGAATTTAGAAATTTTTTTGTATGCTTTAGTTGTAATTTTAATCATGATAAATGTTAAGTGTAATACATGTAATGAAAGTTCTTTGGGGCCCGTCATAAGTTTTAGAGTTATTAAAAGGATCTTGAGAACAAATAATTGAAAATCTCTGACTTAGTACTTAACTATTAGACTGTTTTGTGACACTTCTAACCAATATTAACCTTTCTGTTACTGTTTTTTTATAGAGGATATACTTTTTCAGATCTTTCTTTTACCTAATGAAATTTTCATTATTCCCCAGTAATGAGTGTGGGGGAGATTATACATACACATTCTTATAATATATAGGACCAGTTTTTTTTTTTTATTAAATCATGCAGTACAGTTCAGAGTACTATTTTACTTGCTGACAAAAAGAGTCCTAGGAGATTGCAAATAGAGTTGCACTCCATTATTGATGTGAAAAACCTAGTTTCAGAATCTGAAATCTACTTTTCACATGACTATTTTTGATTTAGAGGGTTTCTGTAAATATTTGTAGCCCTTTGAAGTCATCTTATATTATACTTTATAATACATTTATTTGTGAAAGCTGTAATAACATAAATTGAATGAAGCTTTTAAAAAAGCAAGTTTGGGGTTGGGGTTCTAGCTGAGTCAGAGCCCTTATTTAGTGTATGTGAAGTATTGAGTTCAGTCCCCAGTACAAGTTTTACTCATTTCTGGTCCATGAAAATACATTTTATGAAATAGGTATATACTATGAACTACTACTACCTACTTATTTTTTATCTAGGACTTAACACTTAATTATCTCATATATGCCAATAGGGATGCTTAGTTCTATTTTCAAAAATGCATGAGCAAAAGTAGCTAAGTTTATGGCCAGGGGCCATCAAATGCTCAATTTCTAAAGCTCAACTCAGGTTTCCATGTAGAAATATTTGGCTAGATATGAACTTTTTTATTACGTCGTTTTGGCTGTCTAGTATGCATATCTTTCCTCCCGCAAATGACTATCAGCTTGCTGTTGCATGGGTCAAGTAAGGCAAGTGAAAATGTGCATATTTATTAACTAGACCAAGATTTAGTAGTACAAAAGCTATGTATAAATAATAGCCTAAGATAGGTTAACTGAGAAGTTACATAAAAGCACATGTGGCTCCTACTATGTACTGTGACACATGTTGACATCATCTTAAGCATGATAACAGGATCAGATTTTAGTTAACATGAGTTTTCTGGCTAACTATAGATCAAAATTCTAGTGCTTAAAATTTAGAAATATACTTCAAACATATTTTATAAATTCAATTTCTGAGGGCCTATAGTGAGGTTACTTCTACACTAGCAGTTAAAGAATAAGATCCTTTTAAGAACAGAAGGTTTAATTTCTGCCATTACTAGAAATGTTTGGGGACAGTAATCTCAAATGTTGACATTTTAACATGTAGTATGCACTGTATTTCCGCTGTGCTAGGTAAGAGTTGAGCTTAGACCAAACCCCAGAGAATCTATGGTTTAGGTTTTTTTTAAACCTATTTTTTAGATAATAGAAATTTTTAACTTTTCACTTGTTACTAATTAAATATGTAAAATATTCACATGCCTTAAAAAATGTGTTTGTTGTGATATGATTCAAGAGATGTTTTATTCAGGTAGAGTTCAACATATTTAAAATTTGTATTACATTCAGCCCTTTCTAGCTTGTGTGTGTTTTGCTGTAGTTGATTCTTAAGTTTGAACTTAGGAAACTATTCTAAAGTAAGAGTGACATTTTTTAAAGACCCAAATTCTACATGCTAATTCTATCACTAGCATCAGACAAGTCCACATGTTGCACCTCAGCCTTTTGCAGTTTAAAATTGAACTAGGCAGTGTCTTGAGTAAAAATCATAAAGCCTGGTCTAATTTTAAATTACCATGTTGAAGTCATTTTAAGCATTGTGAGTGTTTTCACTTTTGCTTTGCTTGTTTACATTAAATTTGAAAGAAAAGTGTTTGATTAGACTTTGTACAAGCAACTTCTCTTCCCGTTTTGTTGTGATCCAGAAGAATAACCACACACAATTTAATTTACATAATTATGTTTTGTTAAAACAAAAACTCAAGTAGAAAAGAAAATCAAAAGTGATTTTAAAAGATTAACTTAATTACTTAGGGAAGTAAGGATTTAGGAAAAGACGTTCTAACCATATGATAGCCTTTAAAAGATGTCAGTAATTTTTTCCTGCAGTATACATTGAAGCACAGTTTTGTAGCTTAGAGATTATTATCAAGAATAATGCTAGAAATTTAAAAAAAATATATAAGCAATCAGAAAGCATTCTCCTAATAAACTGCATAATACTTGAGATTTCTTATATGTATAACATTTTATGCAGTTCTGGCTATCAACTCACAAGTACTTAAATCATGTAAGAAGAATTTAAATGGGAAATTGCATTTATCAAGGAGTTGAAACTTTATTCTGTAAAAATATTCTGAAAAACATTAAAAGTCTTCAGACAGGAGAGGATGAAGATTTAGTGTAGGAGACATATAGGAAGATAAAAAATTATTAAAGACGTGAGTAGAAGTAAATATGTACTTCTTTATCAAAATAATAAAAAGGAGTCAGTGCTATAAATAACAAACAACATTCTCAGTCAGCATAATGAAAAGGTTTATCTCCCAGTGCTTCATGTTTGAGTAGCACCCACTGGTGTTTGCTGGGAGAACTACACTGTATGATTGTACATAAAGGTTATTATTCATGTATTTTTTCATGTATGCTCTGCCATATTTCATAAAAGATTTAAGGAATCAATATCATTTAATGGATAATCCACTTGGATCTTATTGCTACGAACATTTTTAAGACATACCACTTTAAATAAGTAAAATTAATGGAAATGGCACTTCATAAAAGTAAAGTTTGAAAAAGTAACTAAAGTTTAAAATCACTGATGTAGTCCCAGCACTCAGGAGCCTGAAGCAAGAGGATCATTGCAAGTTTGAGACCAGCCTGGGCTACAAAGTGAGCTCAAGGCCAGCCTGAGCTGCATAGTGAGACCCTGTCTCAAAAAGACAAAAAAAAAAAAAGAATAAAAGCACTGATAAATTCAGCAATTTTCTTTTTTTTTTTCCCAGCAATTTTCTTTTAGCAGATTTAAATGATGATTTGGATGATGATGATCAGAATGAATTTTGATATTTATGTCATTTTTTCCTTTGTAATTTCATGGACTGTTTATTGTAGAAATTTGGGAAAGAAAGTAAAACAAAACAAAAAAGTTCATAATCTGTCACCAAAAGATAGCCACAATTAGCATTTTTTTTATTTTAAAGAGAATAAAAAATAATAAAATTCAAGACAATACAGAACTTCAAAAAAAGGATAGGAATTCAGTGATGGTTGTTACACTGCATATTGTTGTCCACAGTTAACATTTTAATGTGCATCCCTCCTATACTTTCACACATAATTTTATATTTAAAAGTACATAGTTTAGGCTGTCATGGATTTGCTCACTCCGCAGAGCCAGTTTTTCCCTCACTCTTTACTTTTACTCTTTCTTTTTTTTTTGTTTTTTCTCCGGTACCAGGAACTGAACTCACGACCTTGCGCTTGCCAGGCAGGCGCTTTGCCACTGAGCTAAATCCCCAGCCCCTACTTTTACTCTTTCAAATAAACTTTGTCACTGTTAAAACTACATAGTTTATTATGTTTTGTTTGTACTTTTAAACAGGGTCTAGGAAATTGGCCTGTACCTGTCTTTTAATACCTCAGAGTCAGAGTAAAGTGTTGCAGTATTTTGTTACTTAATTATGTTCTTGGAGACTACAACATGAGAAAGCTATTGCTGGCCAGGGATTCTTATATTTTATGAGAGTTTGTGTTTTGAGTGGCATTTTAATCTTATTTGCTGCCAGAATTTAGCTTTCTTTACTGCTGTTCCTGTGCCATGTTTTTCTAATTGTCTATGAAATGGTAATAAGATCCTCAGACCTGTTTGAATTGTGTTTAAAGGGTAAATAGACCCTGAAAGACAGCTAGAGAAGATAGCAAAATTAAATTACTTTGCCACAGTACCCCTAGAATATCAATTTGGGTTTGTTTTTTTTTTCTTGCACCAGGAATTGAACTCAGGACCTTGCATTTGTCAGGCAGGCACTTATGCCTCTGAGCTATATAGCTCCAGCCCTTGGGTTTTCTAAAGACTTCATTAATAGTGATAGTTCTAGTTAAATTAGATACTATACTGTGAAATTTTAGCTTTTACAATGAAATGCTATTTAGTTTTCATCTGTTTTACAGTACTTTGTGTAAATCATAAATTAATGTAATATTTTTATTAATATTTCATAATAATTTCTTTTCATGCAGGAAGACGAGAAGTTTTTGTCTGAAGTTTTTGCACAGTTAACAGATGAGGCTACAGATGATGATAAACGGCGTGAATTGGTAAGTTATATTTTAAAGAAGAAAGAAAAAATGACAACAAAGACAAAAACAAAGCAACACAAAAACAATAAAAATGACACAGAATTTCAAAATAAGACCACAGGAAATTAACAGTGGTTGTTATATTACATATTGTTATCTTCAACCAAGTTGCTCAGGTTACCAGATGTAAGAATGCAAGATTGATCAAACAAACAGTAACAGTTCCTTTCAGTAAATCGGTAGCAGCTAGTGGTACAATTGTCTTAGCTATCGTGTATGTGTGTGTGTGTGTGTGTGTGTGTGTGTAATTTCCCTTTCCTCCTTCCTCCCATCCCAGTTGTTCCTTCTTTTTTTAAGAAAAAGAAAAGATAAGCAGAACAGGGAAGCCAAATTTCAAAAAAGATATTAGGACAGTTACAATAGTTAATACTTTGTATATTGTTGTCTTCCTGGTAGTTACTGAGAGTAAAAGATACGTATATGTTCTCTTGTCTATACAGTATTAGCAGAAGACTTTCTTTTTTAATGAACTAAGAGAAATTAACTGTATAATAGTCTTAACTATCTTGTATATACATATATTTTTTTCCTTTTTTCATTTCATTTTCCCTTTATCAGTTTTTTACTTTTCAACAGTTTCTTCCCATTTCACAATACCTATTGTACATTTCAGACCTTATTTACTTGTTCGTTTTTTCATACTAGGGAGAGAATACAACGTTTTCACCTATGGGTCTGACTTACTTCATTAATGAGTATGGTCTCTAGTTTGCGTCCATTTACCTATAAAAGCCTGGAGTTTATTTTTCTTTATAGCTGAGTAATACTCTATTATATAAAAATACCACATTTTCTTTATCCATTCCTCAGTTGATGGGCATTTGGGTTGTTTCCAAGATTTAGCTATGACAAATTGTGCTGCTATAAACATGGATGCACATACATCGCTGTGGTATGTTTTCAGTTCTTCTGGAAAAATACCCATAAGGGCAATAGCTGGGTTGAATGGGACCTCTAATCCTAGTTTTTTGGGGTATCTCCACACTGATTTCCACAGTGGTTGTACCAGTCTGCATTCCCACCAGCAGTGGAGAAAGGTTCCTTTTTCCCCACAGCCCCTCCAGCATTTGTTATCCCTTGATTTCTGATGATAGCTATTCTTCTGTCGTGAGATGGAATCTCAGTGTTATTTTAATTTGTATTTCTTGAATAACCAATGCTCTTGAACATTTTTTCATATCTTAACTTGCCATTTGTATTTCTTCATCTGAGAAGTGTGTATTCATCCCAAATGCCCATTTTTGGATTGGGTCTTTGAATTTGGGGGGCTTGATTTTTTTTTTTTTTTTTGGTACCAGGAATCAAACTCAGGACCTTGCACTTGCCAGGCAGGCACTTGTGCCTCTGAGCTATATCCCCAGCCCTTTGATTTTTTTTTTTTTTTTAAATTCTTTAAATATTCTGGGTAAAAGTCCTTTGTCTGAGGGACAGTTGGCTAAAATTTTTTCCCAGTTTGTGAGTTTTCTTTTCACTCTGTTGGTGATTTCTTTTAATGTGCAAAAATTTTTTAATAGGGTGAGGTCCCAGTTATTCATTCTGAAATTCATATTCTTAAAGAGGACTTACTCATTTGGCTTGCATAACCTTTAATCTTGAATTTGTTGAATTGTTTATAATTAGTATGTGATAAAAATGTTTTAAATTGAACTCTAAAATGACCATTCAAAATTTCTAAAAATTTGTTGTTTTTATGTATCTTAGAAAACTCTTACAATGTTTTGGTATGTTTTTCCCCCTGAATGAGAGAATTTGAATGGCTTGTAAATCCTCAAAGCATTTAAGTGGCTTTATATCGAGACAAAACTGCAAAAACATTTTTGTAGTTATCAATACTTATATACTAGAGATGCTTTTCTTTCTAAACAAGAGGGGTAGAGAAAATGCTTCTTGACAAAGTAAATGGCAAATAATTTGGGTTTTGGAAATATTTTCCATATTTTAGTATTTTTATAAGGATGTTTTTCAAAATACAAACTGTTTGCAGGGAAAGAATAGTGATTGCTTTTTCTTAGACATTTACCATTTTTTTAGACATAATCAGATTTGGGTATTCTACAAAACAATGAAAGATTATTGACTTCAGAGCTTCTCAGTTGCTGGGCGTGGTGGCGCATCCCTATAATTACAGCTATAAACATGGATGCTCGGGAGGCTGAGGCAGGAGGATCATTGTGAGTTTGAGACCAGCCTGGGCTACAAAGTGAGCTCCAGGCCAGCCTGAACTGCATAGCGAGACCCTGTCTCAGAATGACAAAAAAAACAAAAAAGGAAAAGGGAAAAAAAAGGACTTCTGAGTCATCTTTGGGTAGTTATCATAGCATACTCGTTTTCTCATTTATAAAATTAGTGTTTTAAGCTCTAATCACTAATGTTACTTCTAATTCCTAAAATTGTGCCATGGTTAAGAGGGTTTTGTGAGAACCCAGCCAGCTTACCATAGGACAGTTTCTGTGCACATGCTTTACATGGCAGTTTTGCACTGCTATGTATTTAGAGAGATTCAGTGTTTGAGGAATAATGCAAAGTTAACTGTTAATGAAATGCTAGTTTTTAATACTTTTTCTAATGTAGGTTCTAAGGAGCCAGGATATTATGAAAAAAACAAGATCCTTCAGAAGTGTGAATCCCACACTGTAGTAACTGAAATAGTGTGCCTAATTTATTTTTATGTTTATCAACTTCTCACTATAATTTTTTTTAACATTGCAGGTTAATTTTTTCAAGGAATTTTGTGCATTTTCTCAGACATTACAACCTCAAAACAGGGATGCATTTTTCAAAACCTTAGCAAAATTGGGAATTCTTCCTGCGCTTGAAATTGTAATGGTAATTGTATGGGTTCTTTTCATATTTTTGAAATTCTGAGTTTGTAATAGATATTTATATTATGAATGGGAAACAGTTTATTACAGTAAAGTATATTGAATGCATATATACACATACACACTCATACATACATATATACATATGTATAAAATATACATGTATAACCTCTTTTCCCAAAAATAAGACCTACAGATCAAAATATGCCAGCCCCTATCAGCCTGTCTTACCTTACCTACCATCACTATTCTCTTGCTCAGTGGCAATTCTATAAGGAAAGACAAGAAGAGGCTCATTAGTGCCTGCATTTTTGATCTCTGTAGTTCTCAAGGCTGATTATTTACCAGCAAAGTCTTATTTCAGGGGAAACATGGAACACATTGGGTAAGGCATTTTGAATTCTGTAGTTTATTATTCACCATTGTATTAACAGAAGAATAGTTTCAGTTTTCAGATATATTTGATTTGGTATGTCAGTATGTAATCATTTCCATGTAACACAGCTTTAGGTGAATAAAAATCCTTCTTCTGTTTGTTCTCTTAAATTAAGTTTATTGGTACATTTTAGATATACATAATGATTATATTCATCATAGGAAATTTGTACCTGTACATGATATATTATGATTACTCTTTTTTTCCCCAACCCTCTCCTCCCTTAAGCCCCTCTTCCCCTCTCTATTTATTCAGATTTGTTTCCATTTTATTCATTTTTTAGTTATTTTTTTTCCTTCTCTCTTCCTTTTCTCCTTCTCCCACCCTACTTTTTCTTTCCTTTTGAATAAGTTCTTCCTATTTTGCAATATCTGTTGTACATTTTGGTCCCTCTTTACTCTTTCAGTTTCTCACATCAGGGAGACAATATGATGTTTATACATGTGAATCTGATTTATTTTACTTAAGGGTATGGTTTCCAGTTGCATACATATACATAGAAATGTCTCAAATTTGTCCTTCTTTATGGCAGAGTAGTACTCCACTGTATAAAAAAAATCACATCTTCTTTATCCTTTCCTCTGTTGATGGACATTTGGGTTGTTTCCAAGATTTAGCTATTACAAATTTTGCTGCTATAAACGTGGGTGCACGTATATTGTTGTGGTATGATGTTTTTAACTCTTCTGGGAAGATACCTAGAAGAGGAATGAGATCAAAGAGAATGTCAGAAAATAGAAAGATATCCCTTGCTTATGGATAGGAAGGACATAGTAAAAATTGGGCATACTCCCAAAATTGTTATACAGATTTAATGCAATCCCGATCAAAATGCCATTAGCATACCTCACAGAACTAGGGAAAGTATTCCTAAAATTCATCTGGAACTGGAAGAGACCTCAAATAGCAAAAGCAGTTCTGGGCAACAAAGGCAAGGCAGGGGACATCTCAATCTATGACTTGAAATTATACTACAAAGCTACTATGATACAAACAGCATGGTAACGGGGAAAAAAAAGATGCAAAGATCAGTGGAACAGATTTGAAGATGCAGAAACAACAACTGCAAGCACACTAGCCACCTTATCATTGACAAAGGAGCCAAACAAATTCGGTAGAAGAAAGATAGCCTCTTTAATAAATGGTTCTAGAAAAACTGGCTTTCCACCAGCAAGGACTAAAACTAGACCTTTGTCTATCACCATGCACTAAACCAAAATCAAAATGGATCAAAGATCTAAAAATTAAAGCAGAAACACTAAATCTACTAAAAGAGAGAATAGGTAGAAACCTTAAACACATAGGTATATGCAAAGATTTCATGAACAAAACCCCAGTCATATAGGAAATAATATAAAGAATCAATAACTAGGATCTCATCCTATTAAAAAGCTTTTGCACAGCAAGAGAAATCACCAGCAGAGTGAAAAGACAACCCATGGAGTGGGGAAAAAAGCCAGTTATCCTTCAAAGGACTTACATCTAGAGTATATAAAGAATTGAAAAAAATCAGCGGCCCCCCACCCAATTTAAAGATGCAATCCAAAAATGGGCATCTGAGATGAATATACACTTCTCACTTGAAGAAAAACAAATAGTAAAAAAATATATGCAAAAATGTTCAGTATCACTGAAAAATGCAAATTATAACAATGTTGAGATTCCATCTCACTCCAGAAAGAATGGCTGTCATCAAGAAAGCAACCAATAACAAATGCTGGAGGGGCTGTGGGGAGACAGGAACCCTTCTCCACTGTTGGGAGTGTAGAGTGGTGCAACCACTGTGGAAGTCAGTGTAGAGATTCCTCCCTTAATTATTTTGAAAGTCTTCTTTGTAACAGTGTTAAATATATTTTATAGATAGCAATAAAATATCTTGTCTTTTTAGACCAGTGAGTGGAATAGTTTTATCCATTGGCATTTACTATACAAAAAATTAAGATGGGAAATTTTAATAGTATTCATTTTAAATAAGTAACCCATTATTGTCAGAGATTGAAAAAGGCAGATAAATAATCATTAATATTATCTATTATGAAAACAGTTTTAATCTTTTATACTACTTGAAAGGGTTTTAGATCCCTTGCTAGGATTTTCTTGACCACACTTACAGAATTGCTAGGATTGTTTTCACAGTCATTGGCTTAGAAAAATAAGTTATGGAAAAGGAGTAAAAATGCCCAAAAAGTGTTTCCAAGAATACTTTCTATTAGGCAAGTTGTGGATTATAGGTTTAGTTATTTTGCAAATTGAGGAGAAAAGACTGATCCTGGTAACCTTTGAGGCCTTAGTTAGAAGACAGCATTTAAGTTTTTGCATATATTTAAATAAATCCTCCCCCTAGATTTGGAGGGTGGATTCAATCCCAGGGCCTTGTGTGTGCTAGGCAGTCTCTTCACCACTGAGATATGTCTCAAGCTCCTATCTGGGTTTTTGTAACAGCATCCTTGAAGCATTCCTTTATAACCCTGTCTGACTTGGGGAGGGGTGGTATGACTGAGGATTGAACTGAGCTACATTCTTAGCCCTTTTTAAAATTTTGAGACAAGGCTGTCACTAAGAGCCCAAGCTGGGATTGCAGTGCTCTCCTGTGGCCTCAGCCTCCTAAGGTACTTGGATTACAGGCATATATCACCACCAATAGTTCTGTGCTTTTTCTTATATTTAAATTCTATGGATTTTTTAAAGTATTAGCTTATTATTTCTATAGGTATAATTTCATTATTACCATAACATAAATTAACATTAAAATTTTCTGCTAGTTTATCATACAACTCTGGGGTACACAGACGTAGGTTCAAAGCAGTTGCACTTCTTGCAGCATTCAGGACTTATACATTCAGTTCAGTAACCATTTATTGAATCTCTGCCATGAGGAAATACTATTCTAGACACTAAAATGAGCAAGATATGGCCCTGACCTCAAGTATTTCTAGAACTGTTATGACCAATCCAGCACCACCTGCAGCTTTTTAAATTTAAATGAATCAAAATTAATAATTCACTGCTTCACATGCATTAGGCATATTTCAGATGCTCAGTAGCCATATATGGTTACTGGCTACCATATTGGACAGGGCAAATACAGAACAATTTTATCATTGTAGAAAGTTCTGCTGTCCTAGATCAAGAAAGCTTCTTGCTTGGGAATATCGTGCCCTGACTCTTCAAGGGTTGAGGGGATAACACACCCCTTGGCAGATTTGGAACAGAGAATAAGGATGGCAGATTCTGCTTCTGGCATATGTTTGTCTTGAGCAAGGTCCTTGGCTCCTCTGGTCCAGTTCATTTACCAATAAAACAAGGAAGATATGAGACTGAAAGACCAGTCAGACTCAAATCTGCCCCAGTACCTTCTGATGCTGAATGAATTGGTAGGACATTCTATATATGTGTGTCGGATTGTGAAGTGCATAGTAATTTTCATCTCCCCAAATTTTTCATTTTAGAAATTAGAGATTGACTTTGATTGAAATATTCTGTATGGAGTTCTTTTTAAAAACTGAGGTATATTTGTACGTCTTTATGGGGTACATTATGGCAGTTGAATGCATGTATATAATACCATAATCAAATCAGGGTAATAAGCATTTCTGATTTCTTCAGTCATTAATCAGTTTTTGTCAGTTGGGAATTTGATACTCTAGTCATTTTGAAGTCTACCATATTGGGTTTTCTTTCAGTTTTTGTTGTCTTACTAGGACACGTTTGTAGTACATAATGACCACATTCTGCAGGGAGAGTTGGTACATGTACATGACTCACCTTAATTCTTTTTCATCTCCATCCCTTCTCGCGCTCTCCCTCCATCTTTTGGTCCCCTTCCCTTTTGCAAAAGATCTGTCTCCTTATTTACCTATTATCTGTATTTTACTTTTTTCTTTTTGTTTTGGATTTTTCATACAAGAGAAACCATGCAATAGTTAACCTCATATGTCTGATTTATCTTACTTAATGTTATGGCCTCAAAGTGCATTCATTTTGCTTCAAATGACTCAGTTTATCCATTATGGCAGAGTGTCTCCATTGTGTCTAAATACTTTATTTTCTTTATCTGTTCATCTGTTAATGGGCATATAGGGTGCTTCCAAGATTCATGTATTACGAATTGTGGTGCTATAAACATGGATATGCATGTCTTTAACTCTCTTGGGAAGATACCTAGAAGACAAATAGCTGGATCCAGTGGAATTTGTATTTTTAGTTTTTTGAGGAATCTCCAAATATTTCTCTTTAATGGTTTAAAAAAACAAACTGATCAATCACCTGCACCAAAATTGTAATATTTATAAAAAGACAAGAGCCAAAGGATGGAGAGATGTATTTTAATTGCAGTTCAATGTCTTAATCCAAATTCTTGCAAAATAATGCATGGTTTTGGGGAAATAAAAGAGGAATACATGAATAACTTATTGACAGTCTTTAATCTACCTTTCCTTTTATCAGGGCATGGATGATTTGCAAGTCAGAGCAGCGGCTACAGATATATTTTCTTATCTAGTAGAATTTAGCCCCTCTATGGTCCGAGAATTTGTAATGCAAGAAGCCCAGCAAAGTGATGATGTAAGTAATAATGATGCAGTTCTGTGTGAACTGCCTTTGCAATACTGTTTACAAACTTGTAAGAAAATTTTTAATCATAATCTCAATTTTAGACAAAATTAGTTGTGACTTTGGCAGGTCAGAATATGTAGAGTTGATTTGTTTGTTGCCTAGGAGAAAAGGTTCAGTTCAGTATTGGGGTATATTACAATCTGATTGGATTTTTAAATTCTGATTTTTTTATTTGAAGGGCTAATGAAATGTAATTTTAATCCCTTACAAGATTTGCAGGTCAGATTCTTATCTAATGTAACTAATAGTTTGCTTTCACTTGTTCATGTATTTTTAAAGTGGGAATGAAAGTTGAATAATGATACTAGTTTTGTGTCTTTCCACTACAGAAATAAACTTTTCACCTTAAAATATTTTAAGAGCAAAAGGAATGTATAGTTGTAATTTAAGTACTCTATCTTATATTAAAAATAATTTATTGTTAAGTAAAATTTAATTAAAGTACAATTAGGGCCTTCTTAAGGAAGTACTTTGATTCTGAATTTTAATTTGATGCTTGCGTGATTATTATTAAATTACATCTTCAAATATTTTGAGTTTAATGTCTTTTTTGCTGGTGGTGGTGCTGGACTGCTGTCTGGTGAAGTCAAACCCAGACTTCAGTGCATGCTGCCTCTATTTTATATATACACTCATCATACATACTTTCTTTTTGAACCGTTGAAAAATAAAGTGCATAAATGATGGTACAATGCTTCCTATAGCTTATATTCCTATTTTAATTGTGCCATAATGTCTATTTTAACCAAGACAGAATTTCTGATCCAATATCTCAATAATTTGGATTTGTCTCATGTTTCCTCTTAAAGATATTCAAGTTACTTCTGTGGCAGGAGTGATTCAGAAATGTTTCCTCTGTGTCATATTAGGAAGTACACTATCTTTTAAAAATCATTTTAGGTTTTCTTTGTCCAGGCCATTTTGCCATTTCAGACACTTAAGGAACTGGACCATTAACTTCTAATTTAGAATCTGAGGAGGTATTGTTGTGCACTTCTTACAGGTTAGAAAGGGTTGATACACTGGAAATACATATTTATAGCATTCATTCAGTTTATTTTTTTTATTTTAAAGAAAGAAAAACGATACACAATTTCAAAAGGATGATATGAAATTAACAATGGTTATTATATTGCATATTGTTGTCTTCAAAGTAGTTACTCAGATTACCAGGTACAGGCATGCAAAATTGACCAAACAATATAAACACTACCTGTTCCTTTCAATGAACTAATAAAAATTAGTAGTATAATTATCTTAGCTATTTTGTATATATATACATAGTATTTTTTCCCCTTCCTTTTCTGTTTTCCCCCATCCCAGTTGTTCTTTCCTTTTGAGCAGTTTCTTTCCCTTTCATTATATCTGTTGTACCTTTTGGATCTTATTTACTCTTTGAGTTTCTTTTTATTAAATTCTTATGTTAAGCTGGGTATTGTGGTTCACACCTGTAATGCCAGCACCCTAGGGGCCTGATGCAGGAAGATCAAAAGTTCCTTACCTCCCTGGGCAGTTTAACAACATGGTGAGACCCTGTTTCAAAATAAATAAAAAAGGGCTGGACATGTAACTCAGAGTGCAGGTCCTAGTTCAATCCCAGTGGAGTAGGGGGCAATGTTATATTAATATTTTTGAAAATGCAGATCAGTTTTATTCTACTTCTTTAGTGTATTCTTCCTGCTCTTGACATATTTTCTTTTTTCATAATTGTTTATGGTATTCATAGAACCTAATATATACAAATGGTAATGTTTGGGGCTGGGGATATAGCTCAGTGGCATAAGCGCTTGGTTGTGAGTTCTATCCCCGATACTGCAAAAAACAAACAAAGAAAAAGATGTGAAACAAATGGTAATGTTTTCTTGATAGTCTCAGAAATTAACTATCAGTAAAATGTTTTCTACTAGTGTAAATTCATGTAAATTCCTTGATTACTGCTTGACTGATAGTGATTGTAGAATGCCATCAATTACAAGATGTATCACAATCTCAAGATACTTGTTTGCTTTTTGTACTACTTGAGATTGAATCCATGGCCCATCAAACCCTTTTTTAAATTTTATTCTGAGACAGGATCTTGCTACCCTGTAATGTCAGCTATTTGGGAGTCTGGAGTAGGATTATTTCAGGTTTGAGATGTTTCTCAGAAACTGGTTAAAGTTACATGAATGTTGGTGTTTTTAAAGTCTAGATAGTAAATGTGACATTGTGGTCATATGGTCCTCACCACTAATCCTTTTTACCCCTCTAGCTGAACTGATCATTGATTTGAAAATTAATGGGTGTGCCTCCTTAGGATTTCTACTTTTAAAAAAAAATAAGTGCGAAGAAAGTTGTTTTTTTTTTGTTTTGTTTTGTTTTGTTTGGGTTTTTTTTCCCAGTACCAGGAACCGAACTCACGACCTTGCGCTTGCCAGGCAGATGCTGTGCCGCTGAGCTAAATTCCCAGCCCCTGCAAAGAAAGTTTGTATCTGCAAACTACTTTGTAGTTTCTTTGTATTAAAACCAAAGCACAGTACTAATGTAACAAATCCACCTGACATTAAAGATTATATAACATAGTATTCCCTTTCTTGTCTGTGAATTGTTGTGCACTTGTAACTTTCAGGAGAGAGACTAGGGAAGGTTTTTGTTTATTTACATATTTACTAATTTTTGTTAGAAGCTAAAAGTCTGTAATTTAGGGTTATATGATGTGTGATCATACTTGTTTAGCCAACTACAAAACTTATGCCTGAGCATGAAACCTGGCTGGAACCGCCAGTGAACAAGAATTACTGGTAAATGATTGTTTTCCACTTCCCTTAAAACTGAGGCATGATCTGCTTTTTGTTTGTTTCTAGGACTTTGAAAAACATTCAGAAGGAAAAAGTTTTAAATAAGCTCTTCCATTTTGTTTTTTCTTTATATCTGATTTTGTTTTTTCAGTTATCATATTTGTCTGTGTCCAGACTTGGTCTAATGGAAACATGTTATCTTTCAGGATATCCTTCTTATTAACGTAGTAATTGAACAAATGATCTGTGACACTGATCCTGAGCTAGGAGGTGCAGTTCAGTTAATGGGACTTCTTCGTACTCTAATTGATCCAGAGAACATGCTGGCTACAACTAATGTAAGAAATTGCCCAGAGGTGAAAATGTTTTTGCTTGGTTAGTTTTAGATGGTTTTGTAATAAAATTATGAGAAAGAAAACACACCTCCATAAGTATTTATACATTTGGTATTCAAATAGCAGTGGTATTCTTGTGGCAGTTTCATTTGCAACAAATACAACATTGTAACCTGTTAAAATCTTAATAAAGAATTAGCAATACCACTTAAAGTCCTTGGCCTCTTACATGTTAACTTCTTAAAAATTATAGTAGTGTGAATATATGTAACCCACTACACTGTATATTTTAAAGTGGTAGGTAAGATGGTAAAGTTATATTAATATGGTTTTATTATAATAAGAAAAGAAAAAATCAAAGTACTACTGAAGAATTGTAACTACCTAAGCCATAAAAAAGGATTTAAGGATTTAATTCTGAAAAAAGGATTCCAGAATATAAATAGTGGTTATCTCAGTGTAAAAGGATACTTAATAAAATTCCCTCATAAGTTTGTGGACCCAGTTTTGTAAAACTTAGTGGCAAAAAAGTAAAAGCTTTTTTTTTCTAAATTATAAACATTTACATTTATTTTTTTCCATAACATTTTATTTTTATTAGTAAGCCTTGTAGTACAAACCTGAAAAGTAAGCAAAAAACGGGCAGTAAACCACATGAAGTTTTCCCTGAGGGGGCGGGATGTACAGAACAACTCTGATAAATTAAATGTCAAACTGTAAGCCATAGGTGGAAATTTAGTGTCAGAAAGAGGGAAAAGTACACAGCAGGGCTATATATAAGCACACTGAAAGATACTTGGTTCTCTTTATACCATTATTAAATATTCCCAAACAGTTCAGTTTTCTCCAATAGCAGTCAAGAAATGGATGCTAAGGATGTTTCTGGCCATCCCACCTGCAAACTCAGTGCAACATGGAATTGATTAATCTAATTAAAAAACAAAGAATAGCTTGCAAAAACATAAACTTTAAATTTAAAGAATGGATCTAACTTTTTTCTTCTAGTGTCTTGATATTTGATTGAGTAGTTTTTGAAATTCAGATAGGTGGTTAAGTACAAGGTTCTAAATTTTAAACAGTTGAGTTAATCATATGGCTTTTTAAAAAATATTTTTCTTCAGGAAAATATTTACATGTTCTTTGTACTTTTGAGTCTTATTTTTAGGGATGACAGTTTTATACAGTTCTTGGTTGTATTGGAAAAACAACAACAAAAAAACAAATGCTCAGCAGTGGATAGTGCATGCTGTTCTAATTTATTTGGGTGTTTTGTTTGTGTTTTTATCTTGATCTTTTGTGGTGAAAACACTTGAAATCTAATCTCAAGAATTTTCAGATATGCAATATATATTGCTGTTACTTGAATGATCATGTACGGTAGACTGAGTCATTCTTCAGATCACTGGCATCTCAAAAAAAAACAATTGTTCTCTGATTTTTGTGGAAAAACTTTATAATGCTAGCCTTTTTCTTGCTTTCATTTTTATTTGATATATCATATGAAATGGATTTGATTTTCATGCTGCAGATGTAAAATTGAAGTGAATATTACCAGTTTGGCCCTCTTTCATAGTATCTTTGTTTGTTTGGTTGGTTTTTTTTTCCCGGTACTGGGAATGGAACTCACTACCTCGTGCTTGCCAGGCAGGCACTGTGCCACTGAGCTGAATCCCCAGCCCTTTCATAGTATCTTAAAGTATTTGTTGTTTATTTTTAATCTGCACTACTAATTCTTAGTGTTTTGTAATTATGAAGGTAATAATTTTTCAGAATTTTGTATGTTTCAGAAAACTGAAAAAAGCGAGTTTCTAAATTTCTTCTACAACCATTGTATGCATGTCCTCACAGCACCACTTTTGACTAATACTTCAGAAGACAAATGTGAAAAGGGTAAGGGTAGGTTCTCTTGTTTATCTGCTTATAATTTCTGTTTTTTAAAAAGATGTGAAATAAATGTTAAAATTAACAGACTATTGATGTTTCATATAACAGAATTTACTCTTGAAAAGTAGTGGAAGAGGGGCTGGGCTTTAGCTCAGTGGCACAGAGCCTGCCTGGCAAGCGCGAGGTCATGAGTTCGATTCCTAGTACCAGAAAAAAAATCAAAAAAAAAGAAAAGTAGTAGAAGAGAATGATATAGAAAAGTACTCCACACTGAGGAAGGAGAGATAGATACTTCAAAACAGGAGAATGTTCCCAAAGGGTTAGAATGAGCTGGACAAATGTGTTGCCTTCACACACATCTAAGAGAACTGTCCTCTTGGAGAATAATCTGGCATTACAGTCCGGTAAACGTCCACTATTTTCTCAGCATCAGGATCAGAAATTGATGGGTCAGTCAAAAAGTTGAGTAAGGCAGATACTGATTTTAAGGTTTTTTGTTGTTTTTTTCTTTTTGAGACAGGATCTTACTACGCAGTTCAGGCTGGCCTTGAGCTCCCTTTGTACCCCTGGCTGGTCTTGATCTCACAATAATTCTCCTGCCTCAGCCTCCTCAGTGCTGGGATTACAGGCATGTGCCACCACGCCTGGCAAAAACCACTTATTTCTATTTTTTTATTTTTAAATTTCATAAATTACTTCCATTATACATATTATGTTTTTCCTTTTATCCAGTGCAGTTTTTGAGATCTGTTCTTACTGATAACCCAGAATTCTTGCTAATTCTTTTATAGTATTGAGTATGCTGTAATTTAGCCATTCTCCTTCTAATGTACATATTTCTAGATTTTTGTTGCAGATTATTTACAAATAATCTTCAGTCTTGGTTCAGTGGCATATGCCTGGAATCCCAGCTACTTGGGAGGCTGAAGCAGGAGGATCACAAGTTTGAGGCCAGCTTGGGAAACTTAGCCAAGAACCTGTCTCTAAATAAATAAAATGGTAGGGATGTAACTCAGTGGAAGGCTGCCCTTAGGGTTCATCCCAAGTACAGTAAATAATAGTAATACGTTCCAGTATGTGTTCCTACATTTCCCTATACAAATATGTTTGTATGACTAGGGTAGAAAATATCTTGCTTACTTTATTTTAGGAAATAAAAAGCATAAACTGGGTGGTGCACACCTGTAACCCCAGCACTTGGGAGGCTGAGGCAGGAGGATCGTTGTGAGTTCAAGGCCAGCCTGGGCTACAAAGTAAGCTTAAGGCCAGCCTGAACTGCATAGTGAAACCCTGTCTCAAAAAGATAAAAAAAAAAAAAAAGCATAAACATGTTACTGAGTTTTTTTATTCTGAAATTTTTAAACTTCTTGTTTTGCATTTTTAAATATGCAAATCAGACATCTCAGTTTTTGGGTGATGAATAAAAGATTCATTAGTCTTATCTCTGGTTGTAATCTCACTTTTTAAATCTGAGTACTTTGTTGTATTGTCTTTTAATAATTCTACATCTGTACCCAGTTCTATAAAAGACTGGAAGTGTGTGTATAATATTTGACCAAAACAACCAACCAACTCTGTACTTTTGTTGTTGTTGTTTTGGGGTTTGTTTGTTTTTCCCTTGGTATTTTTGAGATAGGGTGTGGCTTTGTAATCCAGGCTGGTTTCTGCCTCAGTTCCGAGTACTCGGATTACAGGCTCACACAGTGCCCAGAATAGAGTCTCAGTGGTCTTATGAGGCTAAAAGAAGAGTCTGATTCAAGGTGGGTATTATACATTATTAAGTACTAGGTAAGTGTAAAATGTTACTAATGTATTTTTGGTTTTTTGTTGTTGTTGTTGTTCATAGATAAATTTGTTGGATCTAGTAAAAGCAACACAATTTGTCCTGGTAAGTAGAAATTCGTATTTTTGAACGAATGTACATTATAAGCTTTTCTCTATATGAGGCTAAGTAAACATATTTTCAAAATAACAATGAAATCCAAGAATAGATTTACTTTTTTGCTCAGAATTTTTGGTTTTTTTCCTATAAATTAGCAGTTTGTTTTATGACCTTGTTTTGAAGGTTTAGTTTTTATTTTTTAAATCTAATAAACTACAACTAAACTATACTTTATGACAATCTGATGGAACTAAACTATACTTAATGATAATCTGATGTTTATTGTCTATAACCCTAAGTCTGTTGTCATACCCCTTAGAACATATGTAGCAGGTGTGGGCCTGACAGTATTGAAGGTGTATGTGCTCTGTGCACCTAGCATTGCATCTCTTCTGCCAGGCTCAGCAAAGCTCCAGGAGAGCCAGTTTCAAATCAGAGGTCTGTTCAGAGATTACATTAGAGATAAGAATAATTTGTAGAATTAATGTAGGAAAGTGAAAATAAGACATTTAAGGCTATATATCATTATTTTTAAGATCTTTTATAAATAAAAATTGAGAATTTAAAAATGACAATTTTTTAAAATGGTATGGGACTAGTTCAAAATTTGGCTATGGTGTACTGGCTGGTACATAGATCAGAGCAAGTAAAACTTTTTACTCACATTCAAAGTAGTAACAATCCTTGAAATACCATAATTATTTTATTCATGGCCATTCTGTTATTACAAAGAACGCTGTCTTATTCCTGATGGCAGCTTTGCTCCACAGAATATTTGTGTGTATAATCTTGTGTAAATAAAATAGTTATACCTGGTGTTGATTTTTTTTCCTGTTCTATAAGGCTATGATTCCATAATTTCCTCACAGTTTTAACTTCCTTACTTAAACAATTTTTAATAGAGTATGATTATGATTATCCATATAAGACCTTGATACACATTTAAAATTTGATATTTGGGAAACAATTCAGAATCATTTATGAATGTATAAACTAAAGTCTCTTGCTCTAGCCTCAGGCTAATTTATTTCAGTGCCCCTCTCTTTATGATTGAATGAGTTGCTGTTTTTAAAATTATTGAAAAATCTCAATGTCTTATTTTCACTTACTATTTAAATACTCAGAATATCCTTTCCTTTAAAATGTGTTAGCTGGAGTTACAGCTCAGCAGCACAAGTGCCTGCCTGGCCAGTGCAAGGTCCTGAGTTCCATTCCCAGTACAAAAAAAAAGTGTCAAAAGAAACCCTATTAATTTATTTTAAGAAATTTGCATTGAGCTACTTTAGGCAAAAATTTAAGGTGTTTCCTGTACTATGGGACCTTTTATCAATTCATTAATATTAATAATGAGAACACTTAACTAAAGAAACACTATTACTAAGGAAACATTACCATTTTGTCATCATATCTGTAGTATTGAATTTTTGTTTCTTATTACACTTTTTACACAAAAGCCTTAAAGAATCTTTTGAAGGTAAAACTGATAGTACTTTCCGTCTGCCTAATAAAAAAGTAAAAATGGGGGCTGGGGATTTAGCTCAGCGGCACAGCACCTGCCTGGCAAGCGAGAGGTCATGAGTTTGATTCCCGGTACCGGAAAAAAACCAAAAACCAAAAAAAAAAGTAAAAAAATTTTAGCCTTTTTAACTGATGTGAAAATAGAGGAAATATAGTGGGACTTTTGCTCTAAAGTATAGGGTATAAGCTTTATTTATTCTGTTTAGATGTACTGCAGTATTTATTTTCATGAGATGACTTTCTTTTTTAGATAATTATCAAACAGCACAGCTACTTGCCTTAATTTTAGAGTTACTCACATTTTGTGTGGAACATCACACTTACCACATAAAAAATTATATTATGAACAAGGACTTACTAAGAAGAGTCTTGGTCTTGATGAATTCCAAGCACACTTTCCTGGCTTTGTGTAAGTAACAGTTTAAATAAACAAGATTGCAGAGTGTTTCAGAAACATTTTTGAGAGCTGGGCATGATGTCGCCTGCCTATAATCGCAGCACCCAGGAGGCTGATGCAGAAGGCTAATGCGTTAGAGACCAGCCTGGGTTACGTACATTGTGAGTTCAAGCCCACCTTGACTATGTAGTGAAAACCGGTCTCAAAGAAAAGAAATATTTTTGTAGAATATTTTGTAACTTTTGTAAAAAGTTATTTGAAGTGCTTGTGAGAAGTCTTATTCTTGGTTTGGGTTTTTTGTTAGTTTTTTTTTTTAATAATGGCTCCCCACTCATACATTGCTCACACTTAGATTCAGATAGTTTACCTTTTGTTGTAGTACAATACCATCCATGTGCAGTGACAACATTTCACTAATAGAACCAGTCCTGCTGTCTTTTCTATCAGCTTCAGTGGATTATCATTTAGTAACTTTATCACATAACCCTACACAGAATGTTACACCATTATCCAGTAATAGATTGGAAGATTGTTATGCTTTTTTGTCACTCCAAATTACACTGTAGCAATTAGCCTAGTATACAATACATCCTCTTAAATTTTAACATATAGCTGCCTGATGACTTTCCCAAAAGCTTGAAATACTTGACATTCTCCCAGCAATCTCTCGTAATTACGTTTTCCATTTCTTTTTTCGTGTTTTTTGTTTTCCCAGTACTGAGGAATGAACCCAAGGCCTTTGTACTGAGCTACATCCTCACCGGCCCCCCCCCAACACACTGCCCCCATTTTTTTGAAGACCGAATTTCTCATCTATTAATAATTTTAAATAAATGCTATAAATCTCATGATGGAAAATGTGATACTCCATTTCCTTTCTAATTTACATTTTCTTTTTTTTTTTTTACATTTTCTTTGATAGCATCTTTTCATAGTTTTGTGTAATATGCATTTTTCCCTATTGTGAATTGCTTGTGGTCTTTTTCTTAGAGGTGTTTGTATATTAGGTATATTAACAATTTATGTTTTAGAGGGGAATATCTCAGTCTCATTTGTCTTTTGTCCATGCCTTTATGTCACTGTTTTTCATACAGTTTTAAAAATTCTTTATGACAAATATGGTTTATTGCCTTTTTATGGCTTTTAGGTGTTTGGTCTTAGGACATCTGTGACTTAAAATGATACAAATATTCTCTTCAGGTTTTTTTCTATTTAATCATCTACTTAATTTATATATAAAATACAGCTGAAGTCTATACTTAGGTATGGTTTGAAGTGATAATCTACTTTTATCTTTTCTAGCTAGCCAACTGTACCAAATAAACCATATTTTTTTCCACAAAGTTTAAATATCACTTATGCAATAACTTAATAAATACACGTGTATTTTATTTCTGGACTGTCTGATCTTTAATCTCAGCAAATAAAATAATGGTAGTGGTTGTTTTTGTTTTGGGAGGTTTGGGGGTTTTTTTGTTTTTTGTTTTTTTGGGGGGCTTTTTTTGGTACTGGGAATTGAATTCAGGACCTTGCTCTTGCCAGGCAGGCACTGTACCAATGAGCTGTGTCACTGACCCTAGGCAGTGTGTGTTTGTTTCAGAGGGTACTAAAGATTGAACCCAGGCCTTTATACTGACCTATACCACCAGTGCTTTTTATTCTTCATTTTGAGGTGGGGTCTCACAAACTTACCCAGACTGGACACAAACTTGCGGTCCTCTTCCTTCAGCCTCCAGAGTGGCTGGGATTATGGACATGTGCAATCATGCCTGGCAGCAGTGTTTATTCTCATGCTGTTGTAATATTTCTCTTACAAGGTTTAGTATACTCTTTCCATAATTTTCTTGGTTTTCTTAGACATTTGTTTTTCTACGAAAAATGTAAAAACAGTTATTCTATTCATCTTAATTGGAATTACGTTATATTTGTATATTAATTTTGATAGGATTTATGTTCTTCTGATAGGTTTTGCTATCTTTTTTTATAAATAGTTATTTTTGATGACTACAGAATACTCTTATTAATATAGATATAACCTCACTGATTGGATTTCCAGTATTTATTTATATTTTTATTTTTTAATTTTTTAATATATTTTTAGATTCACATTATTGTAAGCAATATTGTTATAATCATAGCTTTGTATCCATATAGTTCATTTCCCAGCAATATATTAGTGCCTGTTTGCTCATACCTTTCTCAGTGCTTCAGTTGTTTTAACCCTAAATAATGTATTTCTCACCCTGCCACAAAGAAGCAGTGATGCGCAGCTACTAGCACTTCTCCCCACACTTGTTTGTCACAATTAAGATATACTTTCACTGTATGTAGTCTATTTCTCTTTTATTCTCAGACAGTACTGAGATCCTGTTCTAACTGGTGTAACTTCTTCTATCCTTAAGTAGGGGTTGAAATGAGAAAGACCAATAGAAAAAGTCAGAAGCCTTAGCTAATGATGTTTGTGGAATAAATTAAACTTAGTGGGAAAAGCTACAAGTTAAAGGGTCAGCAGATACAAAATTAAAGGACCATAAGAATTTTGGTAGTAATGTATTGCTAAACTTATTTAGCTAGAGAAGCATTTTGGCCATGATGCTGGGGATCAAACCTAGAGCCTCACACACGCTAGCTAGGCAAGCATACTACCACTGAGCCATACCTCACCCCTGTTTGTTTTGTTTTATTTTGTTTTGTTTTGTTTTGTTGGGTTTTTTTCCAATACCGGGGATCAAACTCAGGACATTGAGCTTGCCAGGCAGGCGCTGTGCCTCTGAGCTAAATCCCCAGCCCCCTCACCCGTTTTGTGTTGTTGGTTTTTATAAAGGCAGCCTGATCTACCACAGTGCATATTTTCCCAAAGCAAAATAGCTTATACAGAATTAGTGAATAACAGATGTCATTATAATGCAAAAGTACTGTGATTCACAAATGATTTCTATACTAAGGAGAAGTAGAAGAGTGACACATTCCCCAGGCTTGATCCACAGGTAGTAGGGTGCATTTGACTGTCTCTTTGGGCAGTGTGAACTACCAGTGGTGAGTTATTTAACATAAGATGATAGAATTCAAATCAGAGACACCTGGCAACAGGATATAGGAATTACAACTGCATTGTAATATTGTGACACATACCTGTAGTCTCAACACTCAAAAGGAAGAGGCAGCAAAATCACAAGTTCAAAGCCAACATGGGCTACATAGCAAGTTGAAGGGCAGCCTGAACTATATAAGATAGCAAGACACTGTCTCAAAAAACAAAACAGCCGGGCATGGTGGCGCACTCCTGTAATCCCAGCACTTGGGAGGCTGAGGCAGGAGGATTGTTGTGAGTTCCAGGCCAGCCTGGGCTACAAAGTGAGCTCAAGGTCAGCCTGAAATGCATAACGAGACCCTGTCTCAAAAAAGACGAAAAAAAACAAACCCATACTACATTGTGAAATCCTGTCTCAACAAAAAAATCTTAAAGTCTCCTGTTTTGTTACTGGCAGCCCCTTTGACAGTATTTTCAGAAAATTGAGAACTACCTGCTTCCAAAGCCAAAAAGGCAAGGCAACCTTAATCTCTTGGATGCCTACACTATTTCTGTGCCCATCCTGCACCCCAACTTACTCTGAGCTACACTCATTGCACCCATCAACTCTGCTCTGAGTATAGCCAGAAATTGTATTCTGTGGATCTTGTATATTTTTTCTTGTGCTTGCCATAGAGCTGACCACCTTGGAAGTTTGTTTATCTCCCAAATACTGGTTCTTTTTTTCTGTTGTTAGCACTGTTTCCATAGTTGTGCAAGTTTAAAGCTATCATCCCCAAACTATTTTTCTCAAAGTGCAGTTTCTTTGGTGCATGATTTTTCTTTATATTTGAGAAGAACAAATACATTGCTTTATGGCATTAATGTTACTAATATCATCATTAAGTAAGTAATGTTACTAATACCAGCTTATTTTCTGTATTATTTTTAATTAGGTGCTCTTCGCTTTATGAGGCGGATAATTGGCCTTAAAGACGAATTTTACAATCGTTATATCACCAAGGGAAATCTTTTTGAGCCTGTTATTAATGCTCTTCTGGATAATGGAACTCGGTACAATCTGTTGAATTCAGCAGTTATTGAGTTGTTTGAGTTTATAAGAGTGGTAAGTATGTGTTGTAGAACTCAGTAATTAACATATGAAAGAATTGTCTATGTAGTTATATGTAAAAGTAAAATAATTATATTTAAGGAAAATGATTTCTATATTCTTACTGTCCTAAAATTCTGTGCCTTAGAATCCATTAATAAAAAGCTGAAATTTTAAAAAGTCAGTCACTTTTTTATTATTTGTCACTGTGTAGTGATGTGTTTTCTGTTTCGTTATTTTGTTGTTTGTTTTGATACTAGAGGTCAGTCAAATCCAGGTTGCTTGCTAGGCAAGTACTCTTAACTGAGCCACAGCCTCAGCCCAAAATTTTGAAATGTGAAATACGGCAGAGTTTTTTTACTTATGTTTATCCAGTTTTCTCAGTTCCATTTCCAGTTTTCAGTCCCATTTCTCAGTTCTCAGTTCCAGGGTTTCAACATCAGATTTAACGTATGTGGACATTTTGAACAAGCATGCCATTCATGTGATCTCTTTTTAAAAGGTAGTTTGTTATAGGTGTAATGATAAATGAAGGGAGAGATTGAAAAATAATTTCTTCAACGGTCATTGATACAGGATCCTTAAAAGGTAGGATGAAGTCCCAAAATTTAAAGTTGAAGCGATCAGGAATTCAGACTAGTACAACTACTTAGGATTGCAGTTAAGAAAACTAAGATACCTAGAGGGGTTCATTGACCTATTCACGAGCATCCTCCATACAGTAAGCACTGAGTTGTATCCCAGCTCAGTTTCAGGCAACAAAGCATTTGTCATAAAACATCTGAAGAGAGCTGTAGATGAGTAACTAGAATAAGACAGATAGCTGTAGGAACAGTACGACCAATTTATCTCTCTTGCACATACACATGTAGAGTCAGTCCACCAAGAAGACTGAAAAGAACGTGAAAAGAAGTCAAAACTAGAAATTCTCTAGTTTTGGGTGGGGAGATTTTTTTTCTATAAATCTGATTTGTACTGATGATCTTCTGTTCTCATGAAGATTGTTAGTCTGACTATATTATTTTTCTAAGAGTGATCACTTGCTAAGATATGGTTTTTGGAAGGGTGAAGAGGATAGAAGTACAGTTTTAACCCTTAGAAAAGAAGGAACATAATTATATCACTAGATAAGTGAATCCAGGTGCATAGGACATTGTTCCAGTAAATCTGAACTTTTTTCCTTTAAAAATTTGGTGAGATACTTTATACATGACAAAATGAAATGTGTGCTTGAGAACCATATCCCTGTTCCATGATTGAATGTTTTCTAAAAATAAATTCGAGAATAATTTGAATGCACTGAATCCCAAAAGTCTTTATGTCCCGTAGACAGTAGAAATGCAGTAGACAAGTGGAGTTCCAGATAAGGAATTTATTGGATCAGTCTGTATATGTAATAATGTCAAAGGTATCCAGCCTTATTATTTAGATAATACTCCATTTTGATAGCGGTTAAACAGAAAGGCATCTGTTTGTTGAAAATGATTTTAACATTTGTCCTCTAACAAGCTGTGTGCTCTTGAAACCATCCAGCTTCACAGTCTCAATTTTGTTCTTTTGTAAATGAGCATAATCAAATGTACTTCATAGAATTGTGAGAATTAAACTGAATCGTATGTAGAAGTGCTTTTTAAATTGTAAAGTGCTTTATAAATGCAAAAAGTAGATAGAAACTGAATCTGTTTACTTCTGAAATATTCCTCATAGTCCCTGCAAAGGGCTCCAGTGCATTGCTTCTTTTTTCCATGTTTTCTGTGGAGTCCTGTCTCATGTATAAAGAAACTGGGACATCCGTTTTTGGAAGGTGATTCTGAAAAACTTTTTTGATTAGCTTGGAGCTATAGGAAAAAACATTTTTCTTCTGACAAGCATTGTATTGTATTTGAAATGTAAATTTTGTGCTTATACAGGAAGATATCAAGTCTCTTACTGCACATATAGTTGAAAATTTTTATAAAGCACTTGAATCGATTGAATATGTTCAGACATTCAAAGGATTGAAGACTAAATATGAGCAAGAAAGAGACAGACAAAGTCAGAAACTAAACAGGTATTGTTTAAGTATATTACATTTATAGCCTACAAAATTGTCCACATACTTTAGATGTTATGTGTGAAGTTTATAGAATTATCTTTCTCTCACTAGATAGCAGTAGCACACAAGGTAATGGGTAGGCTGTCCTCCATACCTCAGATCCATTGTAGGATGAGTGATTACTCTGATAACTTAAGATGAGTTTTTAGTTTGTAACATGCAAAAATATTTTGGATAGGTCTATATGTATATCTTGTGTTGTACTTTAGATACAATTTGTACAAAGTTGAAATTATTTCTCTTCCTCTTGGTTACACATTTTTTCCTATTACATTTAATATGATGAACTTTAAATCAGTACTCAATATTTGTGATATATTTCTTACAGTGCGCCATCTATATTGCGCAGTAACAGATTTCGCAGAGATGCAAAAGCCTTGGAAGAGGATGAAGAAATGTGGTTTAATGAAGATGAAGAGGAGGAAGGAAAAGCAGTTGTGACACCAGTTGACAAATCTAAGACAGAAGATGATTTTCCAGATAGTTACGAAAAATTCATGGAGACTAAGAAAGGTATTAACATTCTGAGTATTTATATTGTGTCTGCTCTCAATGTAGTACAGATATTATTCAGTTTTAGATGCTTTTCTAAAATCTGGAGTTTTTTTCATATTTAAAATGTTTTCCTTGAATCTTGTCCTTCTTTGATGCTGTTCAGTTTCTTTTTCTTTTTTTTTTTTCCGTCTTTTTTGAGACAGAGTTTCACTATGCAGTTGAGGCTGGCCTTGAGCTCACTTTGTAGCCCAGGCTGGTCTGGAACCCAACAATTCTCCTGCCTCAGCCTCTCCAGTGCTAGGATTACAGGCATGCGCTACCACACCCGGCTTCATTTTCCATTTAGAACTTTAATTGTGTACTTATATTTCACCCTCTATTAACAGTCTTGGTTTAATTTCTGTGCTAAAATCCCACTGGAGATTTTTATTTCTGTTATTATACCTATTGGAAATTTCTATTACTAGTGAATAACAGAGACTATATAGATCCTTAGGAACCTGCTAGAGCCCTCCATCTTGGCTTTTTATAGCTGAGAAAATTGAATTCAAAGAAGTAACTTTATTCTTTGAAATTTTTTTTTTTTTTTTTTTTTTTTTGGTTTTTCTCCCATACCGGGAACCGAACTCACGACCTTCCGCTTTCCAGGCAAGCACTTTTGCCCGCTGAGCTAAATCCCCAGCCCTGAAATTTTAGTTATTATAGAAGTTGCAGAAAGATATAATAATTAAGAGAAAATGTTAAACTTTGTCCTGGGTTTCAAATAATGTTTAACTTGTTTAGATCTTACTAGTTAATGTCTTTTAATCACGTAAATGTTTAATCAGAATTTACATATGAAAATACAAAAGCATTTCCTGAACTTGCTTTAAATGTGATGTTTTCTTGTTTGTTTGTTTGTTTTTTCTCCGGTACCGGGAACCGAACTCACGACCTTGCGCTTGCCAGGCAGGCGCTTTGCCGCTGAGCTAAATCCCCAGACCCTTAAATGTGATGTTTTCTAAAAGCACCTCTTACTAGAAAAATCATCTCACTGATTTATTACTTTTTCCTTGAAACTCTTGTTGCCAGTTTTACACTTTCCCACTGTTTAGTGTCTTTTTTTATTTTACCCTGGGGAGGCAAATAGCTTATTAAAATGTCCTAAAAATAGGAACCTTTTTGTAGACAAATTCTTCTTTTGTTAGTCATTATAGGTACTGGACTAATGCCAAAAGAAGCAATAAAGTCATACTTGAGGTCCTGCATCTAGTGTTGTGCTGTGCCTTTGGGAATCATTCACAAAAATAGGAGTGATCAGATATTAAAGGGACTGGACACTTAAGCTACAAAAGAAGTACATAAGAGAATGTGGACTAAGGAATCGGAATAAGAGACCACTCGACAAGATCACTGTGTTTAGGCACTTGAAATACTGATTTGTGAGAAAAGTTACTAGGTTATCAACAAGTAAAGAAATATAGAGCAGTGAATAGAAGACAGTAAAAAGAAAGATTCAGACAGCTAGTGAATCTTTGCAAGTAAACACTAGATATAGCGCTGCAGAATTGTAGTATAGGATTCCTGATTTTGCTACATGATTCTTGAGGTTCTTTCTGATACATAGATTTCCAGTATTCTAGCTAATAAAGATGTCTTACAGTGAACATCGTGTACTCTTTTAACTCTTAGAAAGGAAAGATACTCCTTTTATTTTTTAAAATTATTGCTCTTTCAGATGGTTTGATTTAGCAGTACTTAATTGGTAGTGGATCAAATTTTTACTTTTGCTTTAGCAAAAGAAAGTGAAGACAAGGAAAACCTTCCCAAAAGGACATCTTCTGGTGGCTTCAAATTTACTTTCTCCCACTCTGCCAGTGCTGCTAATGGAACAAACAGTACAAACAGTAAATCTGTAGTGGCTCAGACACCACCCACAAGTTCTAATGGTTCTTCTTCCAAAACTACAAACTTGGCTACATCAGTAACAGCCACCAAGGTATGTGAAATAACACTACACACAATCAGACTTAGTGTTTTCTTTCTGTAAAATTATTTCGTGCTTACTGAAGATAATTTGGATAATCAAAATAATGTCAAAGAAGAAAAATACTGTACATGTTGTCATCATACCATGGCTAATGTTTATTTACTTTCCTTTGGGTCCAAGGGTTTATCTGTCACATAACTGAAATTATTCTATGAATGTTTTTTTTATCTGTTTTTGTATTATAATTTTTGTCTTAATAAAACATTGTTTCATGTTCATTTTACTTAGCTAATCACAATATATGTAAACATCCTTCCTCTCCCTCCCCTAGTTCTATTTTAAGCACTTAAGTTGGTTCTTATATATTGCTCATCTGAATACTAATGTTGCATTTTATTTTGTTGACTAGATTAGTAGTAAAATATTATATCAAATTCCTTTAAGAAAGTTTATACCACCTTTTATTCCCATTGGCAGTGAATGAATCTGCTGCCTCACTGCAGCTTTGTCACTGTTAAAAATATTTTTTATATTTGCCAGGAGGTGGGGCAGAATATATAAATCTCTTTCCCAATTAAGTGTCTCTTATTATTACTGACATTGAATTTGCTCTTTTGTATGTTGTCTGTTCATAGTGCCCTTTAAAAATTGGTTTATTTTTTTTTTAATGTGAATGTATTTTTAAGAATACTAGTCTTACTGTAATACTTCTGACATATATTCCCTGTTGTTTACACTTCTTTATGAATAATGTTAAATTTCACATGAAACATTTTTCTTGTTTATATTTTTTGTTATATGAAAGTTTTTCCGAAAAAAAGTGGCTTAAAATAAAAATGAGTAAATATGGGACAATCATTAGTGTAACAGCAGATGGGAAGTAATATAGTAGTACAAAATCTAACTGAAGGAATGTATTTTGTTTTAAACAGAAAATAAAAGTTTGAGCTTACTATTTAACAGATAATGCAGAATTTTTATTGTATAACAGCGAAGTATGTTTTTGATTAAAACTCATAGCATTTTGAGTGAGTTTGTTTAAAACACATGTTGATTAACTAGTAATTTTTGGAATTAATTTTCACTTCCTAAGGACAATTAAGTATAATATTGTGACATTATTTTAAGAATATTTGCTGTGGAATTTTATTGTATGAGTTAAATCTTGGCTGTGTCCCTTTCTAGCTGTTTGACTAAGTTATTTAATCCCTCTATGCCGTTTTAAATGACGATAAAACAGCACTTGCCTTATAAGCTTTTGGGGAAGAATTGTATTTTTAGTAAGTGTATAATGTTTAGATCCTACTTGACCCTTTCTCCATTTATGTTAGCTTTTCTTTTTTTTAAATCAAAGTTATATATCTACTTTTAAAAGTCAAATGATACTAAAGGTGTGTTTACGGTAGAAAAAAAATAAGCCCTCTGTTCCTCCCCACAAAAATAGCTTTGAATTTTTCTAGCTATTTCTTCCATTTCTAAATGATATAGTATACCAGTTTTTCCAAGTATATACATAATTAATTCTTTATTATGATAAATGAAGATTTAGCTTTCTTACACACATGAATACTCATGTCTTCACCTTTCCAATTTTTAATTTAAAATAATATTTAATAGTATGTTAATTTGTTTTTTCTATACTATCATTCTTTGAAACATATTACTTTTTCTAAATAGTGCCACTGTTTTATTTGTTGCAATAGTTATGTGCTTGCTGGTTTTGGGTTTTTTTTTTTGTCTTTTTGAGACAGGGTCTCACTATGCAGTTAAGGCCGGCTTTGAGCTCACTTCGTAGCCCAGACTGGTCTCGAACTCACAACAACCCTCCTGCCTCAGCCTCCTGAGTGCTGGGATTACAGACGTGTGCCACCATGCCCCGGCATGCTAACTTTTTTAGGACCTCTTAAGATTAATTCTGCATGTGTTCTTCTGACAAACATCTCTCTTGAAATCTGTCTCTCCATGTATTCTAGTGTAGACCTGCTCTATATCCCTTTTCTTGAGGCTTCTTCGGCTGTTACCCTCATGCTTTCTTTACCTTCTCTCCTTTTTGTATTATTTGTTTCCTGGACCCTATATTGCCATTCTTTCTTAATGTTTGAATCATTTTGGAAACATTAGTTTCTTGATGAAAAGAATGCCGTGAGAGGTAAAATTTGAGAACATCCAGGTACGAAAATGTCTTTATTGTAACCTCACTGAAAACTTAACTGAATACAGGATCATATTGGTCAGTAATTTTCTCTGAAGAGCTTGAAGTTATTGCTACAAAGAATTTCAGAGATATACTTATTCCTAAAGTTTTGCACTTAAAATTTTTAACGCTACATTCTGAAGTTAAAGTCATGTCGTTCAGCTTTAGAACATTCTCTGCTCTTTCACTATAACTTACTGTTTAGATGGAGCCTGCTGAATAGACCTTAAAATTTTCCTGACTTTCCAGTTGTTTTCTCACTCTTTTTTTCTGTGATATTTCCTTGAGTTTTTAGTTGGTTATCCTTCTGGCTAATTTTTTTCAAATACATAACAAACAAACATGTTTTTAACCCTTTTGATACCAACAGCAAATAACAAAATATATTTGTTCTACATCTTTTAGGCAAACCAGGATAAAAAATGTTCTTTTTCAAATTAATTACTTCATCACTATAAACTTACACAAAATTTTGAAATTAAGGAAGTTAAAAGTGTATAGAATTAAAGCACAAATATGCTCACAGCCTTCCTATATAGTGCCAAGTTCTTTATTACAAGTGGCCCCTTAAGTTTAGTCAGTTTCATAGTTAGTGTTAGTTTCTACAGTTGAAGGTTGTAAAGACATTAACTGCTAATGAAATCAAAAAGATTTTTTAATGATATGAATGCTCTAAAATGCAGTATATAGCTATAAAAGAAGCATATTTTCAATGAGGAAAATACTTATTATAATACACATTGAAACTCAAAAAATGTGAAACTAAAGGATAGGGTAGGTGGGTGGGATGAAGGGGGGGATGGGAATGAAGGGATCAAAGTGTATAATGTGTACAAATACGCCAAAATGAAACCCATTAATCTTTATGCCAATATCAAAATGGGGGAGGGGGTTAAAAAAGTAGAAGCCATTAACAGGTGCTAAAGTAAAAACTTTTTTTTTTTCTACACAGAAAGAAAACCCTGTCTTTTTCATTTAATAAGCCTCTCTTGGTGAACTTTCTATATCTGAACATTTAAAAATTTCTTTGCTGGGTGTGATGGTGCATATTTGTAATCCCAGCACTCCAGGAGGCTAAGGCAGGAGGATTGCAAGTTGGAGCCTAGGCTGGGCAATCTAGCAAGTTAGTGAGACCCTACCTCAAAATATAATATGAAAAAAGAGCTGGAGTTGTGAATCAGTGGTAAAGCTTTCTGTCTCAAAATATAAAAAGGAGGTCTGGGAATGTAGCTCTGTGTGAAACCCTGGGTTCAAATTGTCAGTACCACAATAAGTAAATCTGCATAGAGTTCAAAAGAATGATATACCTTAATTTATAGTTAACCTCTATTAATAGACAGTAAGGTTGTTTCCACCTTAATTGCAACATTGTGACCTTTTACATCATTTTATATACATGCAGACTTCTATGTATGTTCTGCATTTAGGGTTTTGATAATTATTTCCAAGTATAAACAGTAAAGTAGGAATAAACAGATAATTTCTTATATGATGACAGATAACAAAAGCTAGTTTTATAGTTGAGAAATATCAGAAGCTTTCTCACTAGAGCCAAGACAGGGTGCGGCTGTCACTGCTGTCACGTAACCATTGCTCTGAGGTCCTGGCCCGTACAGTTAAGTGAAAGGAATTTTCCATTATAAAGATTAGAAGATTCAAAGCTATCATTTTTGTTGATTTTTTTTTTTAAACGTTTTAAATCTCATTTCAGTAAGATCTATTCCTTATTTTCATTGGGGAAAGAATGACTTTTTAAATTATTTCCCTTTAGATCTGCTAATATAATGAATATTATATATAATTGCATTATATTCTACTTTAAGGTTAATATATTATGTTATATTGTTATTATACTTTATGTATTAGGTATTATAGTTTCTTCACTATTAGATACTGAAACATTCTTTACCTAAAGTACTTGAGTATAACTTCATTTTTTTTGTATCAGGAATCGAACTCATGACCTTGCACTTGACAACTTGAGTATAATTTAGATTATAGGTTTCACAAAATATTTTCTCTCTTTGTAGTTTATTGACATTTATTTTGATCCCTTCATGTTGGAAATTTTCTTCACATTTATGCTATTAAAAAAATACAAGTAAGTAACCAGATATGGTGGCATGAACTTGTATTTCCAGCTACTTGGGCATCTGAGACAAAAGGATCACTTGAGCCCAGGAAATTGAAGCCAGCTCAAGCAACATAGTAAGATACTGTCTCAGAGAAAGAAAGATGTGCAGATTTCAATTAAGGTCCTGAGACAATTCAATAATAATAGTCTTTTCAACAAGTGATATTACAACTAGATATCCATATGCAAAGGAACGAAATTGGACCCCTTGCCCAAAACATATATAAAACTTAACACAAAGTGGATAAAAGACCTAACAAAATATAAGCTGAAAGTATAAAACTAAAATAAATAAATAAATAAATAAATAAATAAATATTTATGACCTTGGATTAGACAGTGATGTTTTTTGGTATGGTATTTCATTTTTTATATCAAGTAACAAAAGAAAATAAATTGAACTTCATCAAATTAAAAATTTTGTGTCAGAGGATACTACAATAAAGGGAAAATTCTGTATGTCCTACAAAATGGGAGGAAATGTTTGCAAATCCTATGTGAGAGAAGGAACTAGTGTATGGACTAAAGAAATAGTGTTAAAGAAGAAAACTGTAGATCAGTTTCAGTACTATAGATACATTCGTGGATAAAAATCCTTAACAACTGCACATATCCATATGATAGTCCATATATAAAGATGGTTCTTAGTCTCATTAATAAACACAAAAAGTCATTGTCAAAAACAATATAAAACATGCAACAAAATCACAAAGGCAGTCAAAACCTGCAACAAAAAATTTTCAGTCTATGATGGTATATCCTACTATGGAATAGAAGAATTTAAAAGAAGGAAATGGGGGCCAGGGATGTAGCTCAGTGGCACAGGTGCCTGCCTGGCAAGCCTGAGGTCATGAGTTCGATTCCCGAAAAAAAAAAAAAAAAAAAAAAAAAAGAAGGAAATGGAACTTCGTTACTAATATTGGGAGTATTCTACAGTGGTAGTTTTTTTGGTGGGGGTGGGGGTACTGGGAATCGAACTCAGGACCTTGGGCTTACCAGGCAGGTGTTGTGCTGCTAGGCTTTATCCCTAGCTGTATAGTGTATTTTTAAGTGAACATGACTGTACTGTGTAGGCTTTTTTTTTTTTTTTTTGAGACAGGGTCTCACTGTGCAGTTCAGGCTGGCCTTGAACTCACTTATGTAGCCCTAGACTGGGCTTGAACTCAATGATCCTCCTGCCTCAGCCTCCCAAGTGCTGGGATTACAGGCGTGCACCACCACGCCTGGCTGTAGGTATAATTAAAAGTCTGTTCTGGGAGGCTGACTCAGAATGATCACAAGTTTGAGCTGAGCCTGGGCAATTTAGCAACTTAGCAAAATCCTGTCTCAAAATTTCGATAGGCAGGCAGATAATAGAAAGATAGATCTATGATAGACAGATAGACAGACAGACAGATGGATAGCTGGAGATGCAGCTCAGTACAAAGGCTTAAGGTTCAATCCTCAGTACCACCACCACCACCATCCAAAAATACTTGGTATTTGAAACAGTAGATTCCTACATATGTATTAAAACTCTGGAACCTCAACTTTACAGGGTAGAGATTATTACAAGCCTTTTTACTTTTAAAATTTTACATTTGTATTTTCATTGTAAACAGTTTTTAAATATGAATTGTATATATGCATACAAAATATAAATAAATTTCAAGATGGTGTAGATGCATTTTTCAGATAATCTTAAATCATTTAACCCATTAACCATTTGGGACTGAACTGTCTATACATTGTGATATATAATGGTAAGCATAATTAAAGCTTTACTGGAAATCTGTTGTCATCTTTGTGAATATCAGATTGATGCCTTTTTAATACTGTAATTATTTCTCTTCTTTCCTAATGTGTGTGGCTTAGTAGCCAAATAACAAATAATAACAGAAATGGCAACTAGTAGCATTTAATTATACTACATACAGTGTCAGAATGTACAGTGTCAGAATGCTTTACATCTTTTGGTTTCAATTTAATTTTCAAAATAGTTCAGTAACATCTAAACACTATTATACTAGTTTCATAGATGTAGATACTAAGATATATAGATATTAAATTGCTTGTCCAAGATCATTCAGATAAATAGTGGACTATAACTTCAAGTTGCACCAACTATAATCAATATATTCTTTTTTTTTTTTTTTTTTTTGAGACAGTGTCTCACTATTCAGTGTAGGCTGGCCTTGAACTCACTTTGTAACCGAGGCTGGCCTATGGTCCTGCTGCTTCAGCCTTCTGATTGCTGGGATTATAGGTGTACACTATCACACCTGCTTACAGTCAATATATTACCATAAATTTAGCTATGCTTTCTCTTATCCAGACTTAAGACGTGATTTAGCTGAACAAGAAGGTTTCACACACATTTGTAAGTTTTGTTTAGTTCACAGACTTTCTGATAAAAGTGGTAGATGCAAAGAGAACTTTTTTTATCAATGTGACAGCATTTCTCTTACATCCTAGGAAAGTGTTTATGCCAGACCCCTGGGTTCTTTCTGTGTGAGCCTACTTTTGTGTGGAGGGTACGTTACCTCACTGGGTTTCTTCATTACCTAGAGACCCAAAGAGTACGCCCTAAGTACAGTGTTTATAGTGGGCCTCTTAACCTGTAGGTTATGTGGTAAGTTTCTTAAGATTGGCTCAAAATTAATGTCCTGTGGACATCTGCAATTTTCTGGAGTGTGCTTTTCATTTTCAAAGATTTTTCAAAGAGTCTTGTTACTCTTAAGAGTCCAAAATCCAGAATTACCTCATCCTTATTTTTATTTACTGCCTTATCATTTTTAGCCTTTTAGACGGTTCTTCAAAAGCAAAATTAAGATAATGTGTGCTAAGTAATGAAATACATACATGAATGGAGACTACAAAGAAACATCCTAGTAAAAAATTAGATGAACTAGGTCATGTACAAGGTCCTTTCCAGCTCCTAAATGTTATAATTGTGTTACTATTTGGGAAAATACTCATTTTCCTACAGTGACGTTTTCCTAAACTGAATTGAGATTTCATTAAAAATGCAATAAACAGTGTAAAAGTTGGGGTTACTGAGAGCCACCAATTAGTACTCAGTTAATGTGCATAATTGTAAGTAGTTCCTATCTTAAATTTAAATGCATTAATTTCAGATATGCAGTTTAGGAAAATGGATTCTAATATCTCGTAGTAACAGTAATAATAAGCTTTTTTAAATGTTACATGTGTTTAAAACATTTTTTTAATTCTTCAATAGGGAAGTTTGGTTGGCTTAGTGGATTATCCAGATGATGAAGAAGAAGATGAAGAAGAAGAAACATCCCCTAGGAAAAGACCTCGCCTGGGCTCATAAAGTGTTTACTGGGGGACCCCAGCATGTGGTCTTAGTAAATTGATGCAGCTGTTTAATGGCTAAAAATCTGAATCAGAAAGCCTTCTCACTGTACATATACAAGGAGTAACAAAAGATCCTCAGCCTGTCAGCTAGGAGAGTTTAGTTCTGTTTAAAAAGGAAAAAAAAAAAAAAAAAAAAGGAAAAGGCTTCCCAGGAACTTAATTGCTAGTAATTAAGGGGTTTGCCTTTCAGGCTATCAAGAAGAAAAAAAAACGTTACTGGAGCCCAGGAGATAGCTTGTCTGAAAGTCTCAGGTTTTGGGACGGTTTGCTTGAGGAGAAACATTGGTAATACAGTAATGCAGGGTTGCTCCAGGGGTGGGTGTCCAATCTAGAAAAAGTTTATAAAACTTCAGTTTCAAACCCAACAATATTACTGGTATAATGGTGCTGGCCATGTTGTTGTTTTAAACAGTTGCCTCTTTTTAAAATAAATTTTTATCATTAAAAGTGAAGTTAGACTGTTGGGACCATTTCTTCGAGGGTTTCACAAAGTCAACCTGGATTGGTGGAGGGAAGTATACCAACCCGTATTACAGCACGCGTTAAGTTTTCTACATCAAGAATTTTCAGTAGGTATTTTGACACGAACAAGCTGGATTTTCAAAATGGATAGTTTTGTTAACATAATTTTAAAATCAGCACTTTTAGAGATAACAATAGCCAAGAAACAGTGCATTAATATTCCAGAATTATCCTCTTTAGAAACCTAGGAGTGGATAGAGCAGTGTTTTCAACCACCTTTGGTTGAAAACCACAGTCTTTTGTGGAAGATCATTGGAAGTCACTTTATTAGTAAAGTTGTATGTCCCTTTGGAGGTGCAGGCGGGTGTTAAAGTACATCTTACAAAGATAAAAGAATAGTGCTGAATACAAGAGATATTTAATATTTAAAGCCATTTTGATCCAGGAAGTTCCTTAAGTGTCAGAGCCACCTGGTGCATATTAAGCTTTTCCATAAATGGGGTAATATGAAAGCTGCTTTCGAAGTGTAAAAGCACATTCCATGTATGTAAATGAATTTAACATATTGAGGCAAACAGTTGTTTATTTTTTAGAACAGCCAGTTAACTGTAAATATTTTAATGTTAGTTTGCTCATCTGTGATCTGAGATCATGCTGAGATGAGAAAAATGTCCCCAAATTACAATTTAATACATTGGGAAAAAAAAAAATCTAAAAATAGTAATTGCAGCTACAGTCTTTAGATCATATTTGTAATGTGTTATGGGTCCATCTTTCCTGGAATAGCTTAAACTGAAGTATCCCGTTTTGGAGATTTTGTAGTTAATTTTAATTTGGGCTATTGTTTGGAAAAGAGATGGGCTGTCTGTGTAGATATGAAGTATAGTTTTTCCATAAAACAGATGTTTATTTTGTATTAAAAATACCACTGTACTTGTTTTACACCATTTGTATACATGTGGTGATATCAATGCTGAACTGTAAAATTCAGGAATTAAAATGTGACTCTATAATTCCATGGTATTTGTGTTTGTTTCATTGTAAATATGTTAACTTTTGATATGTCCATTTTACATTATTTTAAAAGTCAATAAAATTTATTCGTATTTATTATAGAAACCACTAGGTCATATACCAATTGAATCAAACTCTTAAATAGCGTTAGCTGTGCTTTTGGTATCATTGATGGTTAAAGAGGGACAGCCAAAATCCTAGCACCAAAACATGACAGTAAAAAGCCATTCTCACTTCTTCAGGGTATACATACAATAACACATTCCATCTCATAACATGTGAGTCAGGGTATTTTCAGCCAGCATCAGTAAAGTTACCATATGAACATGCTTTCTTTCACAGCAAGCTTTATTGGGCCTCTTCTTTTTTGCTCTTTTTAAATTCCTTCTTAATGTAAGCAGCCTAGCCTAAAACATTTCCATTTATTCTCGACTAAATCACAGCAGGAAGTGTAACATTTGGACTTTATGAAGACTTTAGTATGGTGAATAACTGTCATAAGTCTTAAACTTTTAAGTCATCATTGTCCTCATCCTAAGAACTCTTACAGGACAAATGTGAATGTTTTCTTGAAATGCAGGATGAATATTTTCTTGCACAATGAGATTAAAATACCTTAGAAGCACAACTATGAAGATTCCACATTAGCTGCTGTTTTAAATGACTACCATCAGACAGGTCAGGACATTTGTATCTTTACCGTCACTCAATAAAGCAAGCAAGAACCCACATTTGTATTCCTTAGGTCTCCTTAAAGTATTCGTAAATGTGTCACATGTAAAAATTGTTTTTAATGAAAAGTTACATGAAATTTTTCTGTGTTTTAATCACTAGTTTTTCCTGTCCATTTAGCGATAAAAATGTAACGTAGAATACTAGGTTTTCTATAGTTGAACAGTAGAATTGGGTAGCTAAAATAAGTAGATTTTGTTCAACTAGTTTTATATCATTTTAGTTATAGGAGATAAAATGGAATTATGAATTAAACGTTATGGTTGTCCTGGGTAAATGTAGGACAGCACAACGATAGAAATTTTGGTTATCTTTAAACCGACTACAGAAACTCATTTCAAGGTCTTAGAAAAAAAGATCTCCACCCAGTGGTAGTACTCTCAACAGGCAGTCACTTCTGTTGTTTTCATATCATAGTAAGTAATTCAGTATTTTTAGTAACCCCATCTATTTTCTAAGTCCAAACTGGCTTGCCTCAAAAGTAATGGTAAGGCTGGGCATGGTGGCACACACCTGTAATCCCAGAGGCTGAGGCAGGAGGATTGGTGGGAGCTGAAGACCATCCTCCACTAACTATATAATGAGCTCAACACCAGCCTGAATTGCATACTGAGACCCTGTCTCAGACAAAAAATAGTAAATGCCCAAGATACCATTGTTTACCATTCCATACAGCAGCCACCCATCTTCTAAAATGAAAATAACTGTCATCATGTAACTTCCCACTGCCATATTATAAAATTTAAAATTTTTCACATTCCTTATAAGGCCCTGCATGATTAGTATCTCACCAGTCTTAAATTGTATATGCTAACCCTTTTACTCATTCTATATATACTCTTAATTCCTCAGTTACATGCACTACTTCATGCTGCAAGACCTAAACTATTCCTTCTTTCCATGCAGTTACCCCTTCCAATCAGCTTAATCATAATTTGCTCAAGCAAGCCTAGCCAGCCCAACTTACAGTAATTACATTTATCCTTGTTAGTACTTTGCTCTTTGTAGTACTTCATTAGGCCCATGAAGGTTAACTGCTATGTCTTTAGTACATAACACGCTGTGGCCTGACATAAACAGGTATCCAAGGTAGAATGATGCTGTCCTTTTCCCCAAAAGAAAACTACAAGAAATTTATACTGAATTGGTAAGTAGCTGCCTCCCCAACTACCCTTCATCCCAACCGTAATAATGAGCTTAATACTTGCATTTACAAAAGGGAGTATTTACTTGAAACTAATCTTGGTTTAAACATTAAATTATTTATTTTTTAAGCAAATTGGAACTTCTGTTTTGCTAAGCTGTTTTAAATTACTTATTAATAACTTCTTCTTTAAGTTTTTCTGCAAGCATTCGCCTCTTTAGTAATGTTTGCTTCTCCTCTGCTGTCATTTCTGGCTTCTCTCTCATTTCCTTAAAAAGAAAAAAACATGGTTATAATATAAAATGGATTCCTTTGTCTAATATTCCCAACATACTGCCTCAAAAGAACAAGGTCAGTAATTAAGAGCATATTCAGGGAAGAAAGAAGCTAGATATAGACGAGGTTCTTTTTGTAAAATCTCTTCTTGGGAAAGCCTGGAGGTGGTACCAGTAGTTGGAGTATTTATGGAACACTTCAAACATTTCACATGGCTCAGGTATGCTTGATCACTGTTCCTTACGAACCCAGCAGGACAAGTAAACAAACTGTAAGGGAAACTATCTCATCACAACTCTCACAAGAAAGACTCAGCAGCTGTCACAGCAGCGTACTTAAATCTGAGTAGATCTATGAGCAAAATTTATCAGAGACTTTCTTGTACATATTCCAGTTTTAAGAAATCTACCTCTGTATTTGCACATTTTGACATACGAAGGCTAGCCGTACCTCTGCCTCCCCAGTAGATGTTCCTTTCTCTTCTGTATTTTGAATCTGCTTAGCCCTTACATCCTTTCTCATGGACATCAACTTATCTCTCTTCTGTTTGAGATACTGTTCACGCTGTCGCAACTCTTCTGTTCCAAGTGCTGATAAATTCTGGGTCAATTAAGAAAAGGAACTATCTAAATTCACATCTACTTAGTAAATGTCAAAGATACCTGTTGGCTCAATTACATTCAATTACAAGTTTGAGTTCATTCTTATAACAAAAGCCAAGTATATGGCTGTTTACATTGTTATTTTGCCCATAGTTGGCACAGTATGGGCAAAACGGTAAAATGTCTTTTACTTACTGCTATTGGTCCTTCAATGCGTGCATGTTCTAAGCCAGGAGTCATCAGGCCTTTTTGTGAGACGGAGGAAGTTTCAGGCAGCATTTTCACCTTTCTTGCCAAGGGTTGTGCTGACGGATTAGCAAAATGCACCTTAACTTCTGGCAGTAATTAGACAATAAAACCAATTAGAATATAATAAATACTAAAGTAGGTTCACCAAAATGAGCTGACATTAATAATACTAGTTTTCTACATATTCATTCACCAACGTACATTCAGTGCCTATACTGTGCTGGACACTTGGTGAGAACAATAAACCTGATCTCTGTCCGTAACCCTGCAGAGGTCACAGCCCCTTAACAATATATAAAAAGTCTATGTCTCCTAATTCAGCCATGACCTCGAGAGCCTCATCGTCTCAAAATATAAAAATGAAAAGGGCTAGGGATATAGCTCAGTGGTAGAGCACCCATAGGTTTGATTCTCAGTACCAAAAATAAAAAAAATATGAAAATGGATTAAGAATATGTAAAGGTTTCTAAACTAAGTGAAACCTGGGAGCACACATATAATACGAAAACCCAACAATCTCCAACTATTTGGTAAATGTGCCTAGGAATATGATTAACTTTCAAACTGTTCTTCTGAGCCATTTTTTTCTTATGAGATTAGGTGGTTTAAAAAAAACATTTTCAGTGTAAGTACACAGGCTGCAAAAGAAAGAAGAATGAGACAAGCAATGACTTACATTAAATGAGGTAAAGAACTGAAAGCATAACAAGAAAGACTGGTACATGTGTCTAAATGATTAATAATCTTCCCAACATGGAAACTCAGAAGAGGAATGTTGCCTGCTCGAGAAACTTGACAACCACTGATCCAGCATGGGATGAGTAGAATGACTGCTGAGCCAGGGAGACTGGAAGAAGTAAAGCTTTACAGGTAGTAACCACAGAAGAAGTGAGCTGCAACTAGCACTCCCAAACAACCTACACAGTATTACAGAAAGAACACAGAAATTACAATGAGCTTGAGCAAGTTCTGATATAGAGTTAAAATGCAGCCTTTCGTACTGATGGTGACTCTCCCTGAGGTAGCCTCAGGTCCTGAATGTGGAACCACAGAGCTAGAAAATGGACAGCTCAACTCACTGTGAACACAGACTGGCCAAGTGGACAAGAAACAAAACTCAGTAGTATGCTGTATACAGGAAAATATTTAATCCCAAAGAAACTCAGATTAAAAATCAAAAGATGGAAAATAATATTCCATGCACTAGAAACCTGAAAAACACCAGGAGTCAATCTGTTTTCAGACAAAGCGGACTGTGAGTCAAAGCTGATCAGAAGAGGCAAAGATGGTTACTACATATTGGTTGAAGGAACAATTCAACAGGGAGAGATAACAGTTATAAACATATATGCACTCACCACTAGCACGCCCAACTTCTTAAAACACACATGACTGGACATAAAAGATCAGAGGAACACCAACACAATTATAGGAGGACACCTCAATACCTCACTGTCATAAAGAAACTAGACAAAAAAATCAACAAATTATCACAAACCTTTGAACAAATGGTCTAACAGATATCTATATAGGGTTTTACCCAACAACAGAATATACATGCTTCTCAGCAGCACATGGAACTTTCTCCAAAACAGACCATATACTAACCTATGAAGCATGCTTACATAAATGCAAATGAATCAAAATATTCCATGTGTATTATCAGATCATAGCACAATGAAACTAGAAATCAATGGCAAAACAAACCACAGAAATTATGCAAATGCATGATCAATACACTACTGAATAATCAATGGGTCACAGAAGAAATTAGGGAAGAAAAGCAACAGTTCCTAAAAAATCAAACAATAATGTGAGTAAAACATACTAGAATTTATGGAACACAGTGAAATTTATGGAACACAGTGAAATTTATGGAACACAATGAAAGCAGTCTTAAGAAAGAGGTATATAGTTGTGAATGCCCACATCAGAAACACAGAATTGGAGGGTGGGCCCCTAGCGCACGGGGAGCCTCGGGCAGGGAGCGCCGGTCTTTGGACCGACTCACTCCCGGCCTCAGGGTTTCCCGGAAGGAGGGCTTCCTGAGCACAGGGAACTGCGGGTGGGGAGTGCCAGCCGTCTGGCTGGCTAGCTTCCTGCCTGCTGGCTCCCGGAGGGTGGGCCCCC